CTGAGAAGTACTTTTTGTAAAGTCGAAGTCTTTATGTGCCGCGATAATTCATTTTTACAATAACTACTCCATGATAGATGTGAAGTTGCTGTTCTGTTGCATAGTTTGACTTTAGGGTGAAGAAAGTTAGAAGTTTATAGGAGTGATTGTTGGCCAGACTAACCAAAATAAATACATTTAGAGTGATCTATTTGGTCATTTCGTAGTTTGAGGACACGGCTGATTTCACGACTAATTTTACTTTTTAAAACATCTGGTGGCAAATAACCGGTTGGTTTCCGAGATAAGTTGGTGTCTGCGTTATAGATTTTCAGAGCTTTTATTTAGAGATGAGCAATGATCTATTCTGTGGTCACCGTTATATTATATATAACATTTAAAGCCTCACAGTTTAAGCTTGCATCCTTTTAGGCGTACAAGCCTGTAGCTGTGATTGGTCCGCTTATCGAGCCAACGCCTTACTCCATACTAACAGTAACAACAATAACATTATACGAGGTTTGCCAGCCTAAGAGCAAGGATCTTAGTTATCTTTGTCTTGTGTGATGCCCACAACTCATACTTAAACATTGCATTAGTCTGGCTTAGAGGAGCTCCAAGCTAGAGCGATTAAACTGAGAGTTGAGCTAATGCACCCCAAAACAAGATCTCTTAGTCCACCATTGCATGAGCCCCAAAACGCAGTCCAGTTTTACACTTTAATAGATCATGAGTGAGAAGTTGCTGTCTCGTAGATAAGTTCAGGAGTTGTAGGTCCCGTGATGACAATGGAAAAACGCCTACACAGGTCACGTGCCTGTACTAACCGAGTCACGTGATCAATTAGCCCACACCAGTGAATGGTTTTCTCATGACTATGGAATTAAATTAAAGCAGGAGATCAAGCTGGCACGATATGTTAATTTAAGTGAGTTTAAGTTCTAAGAGAGTGTTCATAGACACAGAGATTCCTTTGCATCTATTAAATCCCGGGAACTGGCAGTGTCTAGTACTCTGATATCCTGGCTCTCCCTCGGTATTCACACTTAGAATCCCTGACTATAATAGAGTAACTCTCACTTCCAGTCTCTTTGGGGAGTGATACTAACGTCAGCTACAGCAACCGGGTCCAGCAAGTTCCACTCGTCATTTAATATGATTTATTACAGAAATTTTAAGTCTGATCAGGATTCAGGTTGACACTTTTTGATCCCAACAATTAAACGTTGGGCAACTATTAAATAGCTGGGACCGCAAGCCAAGAACAGTCATAACCAGTGCAGTGATCTGTCAGTTGTCATTACCATCAGAGAATTAGTTAGCTAGGCTTGAAATATCTTTTCAAATATTTTCTGGTTTCCCTCATGTCTTTCTGTTTTAATTTCATTTTCAAATTTGCGTGTGAATTCGGAGCCAAAACCGCCATCAATTAGTATTAGAGAGTCCCCTGGTACAGCGACCGCCACTTATCTCTATAACTTCCTTAAAACAATGCCCATAACAACCCAGCAAAGGGGAAACAAACAACATTTGTTGCTCACTTCCTGTTTGTTTATTTTGTATTGCTGCTACAGTGTTCTTGAAATGTGCTGCCCGTAAAGAAGTGAGAGGAACTACAGTTAACTATTTTTATGCCAATCGATAAGTTAATAGAACTGGTGGGGAGGTGAACGAGATGGGTTCTCTGACACGTGACCTTATTCTCTGACACGTGACCATATTCTCTGACACGTGACCACTGACCGTGGATAGTGATTAACCTATCACTCTATCAGCTCTTTAAAGTATTGACCAATCTTATTGGAACCCAGAATCACTGTCACGTGTCAAAGCATATATGGTTCACTTCCACACCAGTCTTCACAATTCAGATAATATTAAATACAAATAGCATTTTTTCTGTTTAAGTAGGCCCTGAATTCTGATCATCCTCTCTTACCTTTGCAATTAATCGTTCATTTTCCCCATTTTACAGTACAGAATCTTATATTTCGTTTATTTTAAACATGATATCTTGTAATTTCCCCACTTTTTAAAAGAAATGACAGGCGACGTTAAGCTTGGTATATTTCTACTATTGCAGATCAGTGTACCAACATCAGCTGCACAGGGTTAGTCAGGTTAAATCTGTATCGAAATTTATATCTTGAAATGTTAAAATTTTTCTGCACCCAAGCCTGGAATTCTCATAAATCTCTGAGATAAAAGTTAACTCTCATAAACGAACTAGTGAATTGTTGCGGTCACTAGGTAGTTATCATTCGTATAAGGAAAAATTGTACGACAAATATAGTACTGCAATTTTAGTTTTTACAGAATTTGTCATATTACTCACAAATCCTGATTCCTGACGAGGCACTTAACACTTTTATTATAAGGCAGGCGTGATTCATACACTTAAAGGAACAAGTTCAATCAAAGTTATAAGATGAGCTAGCTGGCTACAGGCTAGCATGTAGTTTTTGATAAGTTGAAAATTTTAAGATTAAGTAATTAACTCGAGATGCAGTAGACAGATACTGGCCAATGGAGGCACAGTAAACGTTTACTATTATAGGCATTGAGCGTATAGTTATTGCATGTCTCATTAAACGTACTTCCATTCTGATTCTGATGAAGTTTGAAGTGGATAATTTTTACTGCTATCAACCCGGTCCCGCCCCATTTACAGTTCCAAATTTCTATAAAATTACAGTGAATAAATTACGTAAATTTTTAACAGATCCTGACACTGGGTGGAAAAAAATCGTTCAAAACGAGGTGATACAAGGTGATCTAGACGACGTAGCGATACAGGTTAAGTCACAAAGTGCGAGTGGAAGGGTTGAGATACAGTTTCCGGACGAGAATGTGTACTTGGATTGGTCAACAGAGCCCTCGGCGCCATTTGATATAAAAGGAACCTGCAACCCAAATATTGTATACAATGACGCTGAAGACAAACAGGTTAAATTCCAAGACATGACAATTTTTAAGGGTTTCATTTAAAGAATAAACAATTCCAAGAGTATCTACACAGCATATAAACAGCACAACTATTTCAAATGTTATATATTGGAAGGGAAGCACCATAATATTATAACATCCGGTGATATTGTTTATTGCAGATCCCTGCTTATGACGAACAGATATGGACCTTGAAGAAATCGGGTGGTTTCCTGATCATGACTTGTAAAAAAAAGGAAGTGTTTAAATACGACTTTTATGGAAATGGGTGTATAAAGTTTAACGACTTCAGCCCGACGTTCAAGTTTCCACAAAACCAAAACACTGCTGCTTTGGAGTACAAGATACTGCAGGAAATTGGTAAGCATTAAGCACGATCCTAAATATTACCTCATCAGATGAGGGGAAAGATCTTTCTACTAATTAAATAGTCCCTACAAAGTACAAATACGTACAGGGTGGGCCAAAAGTCAGTACCCATACGTTGGGTCTTATACCTCCGCCGTGTTTTATATTTGAGAGTTGTTGCTTTGCAGATGGCATACTGTACCTACTTGTTCGAGGATTCCGTCACCAAAATTTGAAAATTAGATTTTTGGGGCCACACCCAATCAACATTGAATTGCTTATACTGGTGTTTGTGAACATGTTAGAGACTCCGTTGTAACATATTGCAATAGGTCATTTAATCCGGAATATGATCTGAAAAGATGGTGCGAAACGGATTTAAAATGACGAAGTTATCAAGCAATTTGTTTATCTCGTTAGCAAAATTGATTGGGAACTCAATGATTACCCAATTACGGCACCGTAATTGGGCTCTCTACACGATTCCCATAATGCGGATCTAGCCTCAACCCAATTTCCTGATCACACGTAATGAACAAACTCGTTATGCTTCATATCTCGGTCATCTGAGAAGCTAGAACTCTCATTTTTTCAGGACAAACGTAATTTAAATGGCCAAACACTATTCAATAAAATTTGGCTTGATCCGACTATCCAAACTATCAAATAAATGCAAAAATGAACCTTCATTTGAAAAAAATGAACACGAATATTTTTCGATTTGACAAATTCCTCGAACCAGTGGTGGTAGTAAGTCATACCAGAAAGAATTATTTCAATTGTACACTCAGTGATTGAGCTATTAAGGCCAACATATGGCCATGGGTACTGACTTTTGGCCCACCCTGTATTATTCGATCAACACTTATTTTTGTACGGATTTGTAGAAAATAACGAAAAAGATCCTAAAATTACACAATTTAAAATCCTTAAATTGCCATCTAGATAACCTAATATAGTCTATATATTAAAAAAAAACTACACGCGTGTAATAATCCTGGTCTAGAAAAGTATTATCAAAAACAAACCCCAGGAACATGTAGCTCCGGTCAGTACTGGAGTACAGAAACAACCCAGTGTGAGAGCTGTGCTGCAGGAGAGTACAGTGAAGGAGGAGTAGTAACCCAGTGTATTCCATGTACGAGTGGTAAAACAGTGCTGGCAGGACAAGGAACCAGCGCTCAGGCGTGTAGATGGGGTAAGTTAAACTATTGTAGGGGAGAGGGCCGGTGGAGAGGGAGACTGTGCGGGAAGTTCTACTAATAGTTATAAAGAGGGTTTAACTCAAACCACAGGTCTTAACTCTAAATTGATTTATAAATTCTTTGCATCATGTCAGTGCTATGAAAAACAGATGGGATCCATGTGCTTATAATAATAAATACGGCATGAGGAACTATTCATGATGAAACTAACACGTCGGAAAGAGGGGCCCGGGGGCCGGGGGGGGGCTTAAAATACTAGTTCCACACTTATAGATAAGATCTTTTTAACAGCCAACAAATTAATTAGACCATGTCATTTTTTCAGTTGTTGAAGTTACCAATCGAGAAGTTCACATTCGGGCAGCGACTACTCTGTCTTGTACAGTTACTGGAATCACAGATGATCTGTCAGATCCCGTCACAATCGCCTGGTCAGGATTCACAGGTGGAATTGAATATTCTCAAGAATTCGGGACGATATTATCAGAAAAGCAGACAACAACATTAACTGTCAATGGAGATATGGTAACTGAGGATAAAACATATACTTGTACCGTGACGGATAGTGGTGCAGATGAACAACAAGAGTTCGTTCATCTGGATGTGTATGGTAAGTGATAGATCATTTATTAAATGTATTCAAGTTAAAGCTTTGAGGCCCCTTCAATCCTATCAAACAATCCATAAAATGAGATATTGATTAGCTCACTTCATTTCAGATGTTCAACCACACCATGTTGAAGCAAAGTCGGGCACGAGTGCCACAATTGCCTGTGTGATAACAAAAGCATCAGGGTTGATGACAGTGGAATGGCTAACAAGTGATGGAATCAGTATTGACTCAGCAACTGCCAACTACGTTCCAAGCCCCGGCGTTTACGAAAGTGGGACCATGCAGAAAGCGACTCTGGTGGTTGGAGAACAGGCTTCAGAGCACGATAAAACATACACTTGTAGAGTAACATCTGGAGAATATCCAATCTCACCAAGCTGTGATAAAACTGTTCAACTGAATGTTTACGGTGGGTTTATAATAATCCAAAGGGTCTCGATTAATGTTTATATCATTGATCGTAATCAAATTAATATTTAGTTTTTCTTGCTTAGAGACAGCGTTCTCTGATGTCATATTTTTTTAAATTGGGCAATATTAGGACATTATAATATTATTCAAAATAGTAGAATGCAGATCACAGTACTAAAATAGCCATATTCCTGACAAATCTCATCAATACATCAGAGGTCAAAGCCGTCAACGCTGTGGTAAAACCAGGTACAGACGCAACTATCTCCTGTGTGATTGAGGGAATAACAAGCCAAGTTAAAGTGGAATGGCTGGAATCTTCAGAAGAAATTATCGTGGCTGACTCTAACTACACTCCAAACCCTGGAACAATAGAAAACAACAGTCAGACGGCTACCCTGGAGGTTACGGGAGCTGCAGAAGAAACAACTTTCACTTGCAGAGTCACATCTGGACAGTTCCCTAGTTCACCATCTTCTGACACAGAAGTGCAACTCAATGTTTACGGTAAGTTTCAAAGTTGGTTTAATCGACAAGGGGTTCGAACTAATGCCTATGTCATCATCCTTGATTTATCATTATGAGATGAATTGTAAATGAACTTGGTCAAATATCCACTAAAATATAGATAGGTTTTTTAAAACAGTTAAACAGGACTAAAAATAAATGTATAATTAAACTTCTCTCCTTGGTATTCAGTTGTGACAGCCCACAGCGCTGAGGTAAAATCCGGCACAGACGCTACCATTTCCTGTGTGATAGAAGGAATAACTAGCCAGATTGAAGTGGAATGGGTGGGGGCTCACGTAGAAGATGATAACTACACTCAAAAATCTGGTACATTGGATGGCGACAGTCAGACAGCTACCCTTGAGGTTACGGGAGCTGCTGTTACAGAAGATAAAACCTTCGCTTGCAGAGTCACATCTGAACAGTTCCCTGATTCTTCCGTGTCTGTAACTAGTGTACAGCTCAATGTTTATGGTAAGTTCGAAATCAGTTTTAAATCAAGGGTTACTGCACACTGCACAGTGTACATTTAAAATGATCCATGATTGATCTTTTTTTAAACAAATCCACGCTTCCAAAAATGCTAATTTCTATGACCTAACTGATATTATCTTTAATTCAGAGGTTCATGCCGTCAACGCTGAGGTAAAATCAGGTACATACGCAACTATTTCCTGTGTGATAGTGGGAATTACAAGCCTTGCTACCGTGGAATGGGTAGGACCTTCAGGTACTGATATTTCAGGTGACTCTAACTACACTCCAAAATCTGGGACATTGGATGGCGACAGTCAGACAGCTACCCTGGAGGTTACGGGAGCTGCTGTTACAGAAGATAGAACTTTCACTTGCAGAGTCACATCTGGACAGTTCCATAGTTCACCATTTTCTGACACAGAAGTGCAGCTCAATGTTTACGGTAAGTTTTAAAGTTGGTTTTAAAATGAAACTTTTTATTCACTTTACAATTTATTGAGAAAGCTAAGGGGAAACTGATTATAGCAAACTCAATGGCCAAAGAAGAACCTAGTAATAAGTAAAAGCATCTATCATGTATCTGCACCTACGGATAACTTGATAATATCTCCAACTTGACAATGTAATTTCAGGATGTTCAAAAGACCCCAAATTCACATTTACAATCGCGGGTAACACTGAGGATACAGTAAAAGTAGGAGAGACTGTGACGGTCTCCTGTGCTCCTGGATCCACACCATCTGGTTCAGATGTAACCACTACTGCAACCTGTGTAGCGGTTGATAATATGGTGTTTACTGACAAATTATTCGATTGTACGGAGACAAACGGTGAGTTCTCACTTCTCACAATAAATCACAAAAAAGTAGCAATAACTTATAACTGACAGCTGATTTTGAAAGTTGAACAACCATTTGGTTAATTTTCATTTCTCCAGAAATAGTTTTAAAGTATGAAAAACGTAAATTTAAATTAATACCGGTGCTAACAAACTAATCCGTCTTTCCTTAGGTTGCAGGGTGAAAGAGCAACTACCACAAGACTTAGATATTACACTAACCCAAGGTAAAAATAACAATAAACTGAAATTTTATACAACTTTTGAGATAAAACTTCTACCATGCAGCGTGTAATCTAAACACCACAAAAATGACCATATACACAAGGATGATTTAAAGTGCAAGTCACATCAGTAATAAATGGTGTGTTTAACAAATTCAACTACCCTAGATTTGTGGTCCGAAGAAGAAACTGGTGTAATAACTTACACTTGTAAGAAAGGTTATATCAAGACAGAGGCATACAGATGTAACAAATGGAAGGTTAGAACTTAGACACATCGTGTTTTTTAAATTGGGTCTATTAATATTGGCAAAACTGGGCTACATGTTGGTGACAATAAACAGTTTTTCAAATATAATCATAATGTTTTAATGTTAGCACATTAGTTACTGTTGTCTGAATAATATAATCCCTCTACTAGTGCGAAGGTGGAAATGTTAAGTGTAAAGAACCGGAAAATGAAATGAACAAACTCATAACAGCGGTAGAATTCTGTAAGATCTGTCCACCAAAGACATATCATGACTCAAAGAACAATATTTGTGGAAATTGTCCAGTGGGCCACAAGTCTGGTTACGGGTTTGAAAAGTGCTTCAGTAAGTATTTTCTATCATTTAAATTCGCAAGATTACTTCGAAGGTATAGTTTATAAAAAGCGGAAACCGGTCTCGCCAGAAAACCCTAGTTTGCTCTTTTCAGCTTTCAGATCATCAATAACCCCTATCATGTCATAATCGAAAATTAAAATGAATCATTTCTTTTATCGATAGTTTCTTTGAATACATTGTAGATTTAGTTTACGAAACAAACCCAAATCGCGCATCAAATCGGTCCTTTTTAAAAGTTTGATCAGTGTAACTCAACACATCTGTGATTTATGAACGCAACGGCCTCCAAGTGGAACATTACCCTCAAATACTGGTCACCATGTTTGTATCTAGGAGACTACACAATATGTGCCAGTTATTTGAGGATATATAAAGACTTAATAAATTATTATTTATTAGTTTAATAAATTATCTGGAAATCGGTGGGACGATTACCAGTATTATTTCAACTAACCAGCTGACAGAAGCAGTGAAGAGATATCATCCCTCCACTGCTTGTGACAGTAGTGTCAGGTACTGTAAAGATGTTTGGAGATAGACACGTTTCGACTTCACTTAAAGTTGGAGAGGGCATGATGAACGATACCAGAGGAGAGGGCATGATGAACGATACCACTAGCCCCCGGCCAGGTAACTGAGATCGCTTAATGAACATGTGCTGTTAAACATGTGGACTTTTAAACATGTGAATTGTTCATCATGGGAATTGTTCAACATGTGAATTGTTCAACATGGGAATTGTTCAACATGGGAATTGGACTTTTCGTATGAAGGAGCAGGCCACCTTAATTAATTGCTTTGAGATCTTTTAAATCGTTATCTGATAAAAAAAGGCCTGAAGTAAATGACTGAAGTCACATTATATTCCATTATCGTCGTGCATCTCTTCAGGTCAATATTTGGAGAGATGGATCGAAGGAACTCGGAAAAGATGTTTAGAAAGCTGATGATCTTTTATCAAGATGAGGCTTTTATTCAGAAAAGCAACTCGATGATGAACACGAAAAGGACTAGATCAAATTTTGTTTCTTGCTTTAAAAACATTTAATTCGAAAGTTTTACTTTACTCATAATTTTTGTTTCAAGTTTCAAGTCAATTCAGCTATAAAAATGTTTGTAGAAATGTAAATAAACTGCGTGTTAGCCTGCATTTGTATTTTATGGACAACATCACTGATAAGGGTATTAATAATCATTTAGATGTCAACATTTGATTGACAACTGATTAAATAAAGCAGCTCTGACACGGATTTCATATTTGTTGTTTAATATTATCAGTTAACAGCTACTTCATAGTTCATACTTTAATGGATTTTAGAACTATCTTCTATATTACACTTTTTAAACCATCGTAAATTGTGTTTTCATTGGTTTGATTCAAACAATGTACAAGAAGGTTAACATAATTATATGCGAATTTGATGCTAATGCGATTATCAAATCCAATAATTAAAATGTCCAATTCAGTACTTAACCCCAAAAAAGGATCGAATAAATTGTGGATTTCCTCGCTTCTTAATAATGTATCACAATGATTCCTACGAATTCCCGCCAATTCTTAACCATTTGTTTCAAAGAATTCTTCTTGTTCTAATTGTGCAATATTGATTATTGCTTTTAGCCTAATACTCTAAAAATAGCCTATTATTCTATGAGGTGAAAATCGCGATAATTTTGCTTCCATCTGCACATTGAACTTCTTACTCTGAAAGGTTCCCGAAATATCTCAATTAAAGACTCCAGACATCAAAACTATCATTACCTTCCTCCTACAGCTGGTGTTTTTAGGACCCAAAAGAGTACTATCTCGCCCCTTAGTCATTATAAATGGTCATTAAAGTAGTTTGACACACTTAGCACAGGTGTGGTGACCGATTACCGAATCATCATATATTCGGTATTCAGTAGTATTTGGTATTTGGTACCGAATATTTTCGATTGACCGCGACCGTATCACCAAATATTCGGTCGAACCGAATACCGAACTCCAAATCCGAATATTTTCCGAACTATTCGGTAACCCTAGTTGTGATAATCTTAGATTATATTTTCTGTCCTGAAATATTATTAGTAGCTTCAACGCTCAACAGGTGTATGAATAAGGGCACCTCAGCTCTGGTGACAACAAACGATGATAATTATGAGAACTTTCCGGGAAGTAACGAGAGAAATAAAAAAAAGAGCTTTAAAGTTAGCGAATTGTAGTTGAATTGTATGATCTTAAGTAGTGCGTACACTGAAGTGTGATTCTTGGATAGTTTAATCACGTTCTCAAATGTTATAATTTTGAAAGTGGACTGTAAATTTGTGGATCTGTTATGACGTCATCTCGATAACCCTAAAATTATCAATAACTTTTACAGTTTCCCCCCTCTATAACACGCTTACGGCTTAGCTGCTACAACGCAGATTTTTCACGCTAAATGTTTCATTTTTCATCCCAAAAAGCGCGTTATAGAGGGTGAATTAATCAAACTGTAATTACTAGCTATAACTATATTATAAATTATATCAATACAAATTTTACCCGAGAAACATCAATTATATCATACACAATTTGAGCAATCATAGGAGCATGATATGTATAAGCAACTATATAGTATGTATAAGCAACCTTTATAATGTATCAACATTTAACACTAGCTAGGCTGTTTGTGTAAATCATTAACTCATAAAATAAAGAGAACATGCTTTCTTAAATTTACAACAAAGAACAGAGGTGGTAATTGTTCATGCTTACCTCCGAGAGAACCAGCAAGTGCAACATCTCCTTTTCCTGAAGTTAGGAAGATGAGAGAAACTGAAAATATTTTAACTTAAACCGTTACATTCCCTGAATTTATATGGGGTGGCAAGTCCCCATTCATAGCAGCCCGCTAGATTTACTGCCTCTAAATATGATTCGCATCTATTAGTATTCGTATTATGCAGACAATTTTAATCCTTAAAATAATTTTTCGCATCTCATTCACTAAGATTACGTAATACTTATTGGAGCTGGCCTCATTTCCCCCGATTATGCTAATCGCGTTTAGGCTACCACTCCGATAATCGTAACCGATAATTATTTCCGATAATTCGTTTTAAAAAGTTATCTGTAATTCTAGATAAAATATATTTTTATCGGTATAAAAATTCACTAGGAATTCCCGTAAATACTGCCACAATATAATGAAATTTGAAGGAAATATTAGTGGTTTTGCTTCTCTCTGTTCCCAAGTACTCCAAGAAACAGTCCCAAACGTCTTCTAGTATAATAAAAGAGGTAGTTTACTTGGATGTGAGCTTAAGAGGTTTATCTACATTTGTATACCTGGATCAACTGCAGAAATCCAGAGAAGGTTATTGACAATTTTCTCTTAAGGAAGGTCTAGGTGCTAGCATTTAATATTCCAACCATTCTGGAGACGGGCACGAGCATGTTACTGTTAAGCTGTTAGATAAAAGATTCCATACCGATAATGGGTAGCCTAATCGCGTTAATTGTGTAAACTTGCTGTGTAAAACTGCAACTCTTTCCCGCGCTCTATAATTTGTCCTGGTACTATCCAAGGAAGTGATACAATCACTATTATATCACTATTATATCACTATTATAATATCACTGTTATATTTATATCTTGACAGACTAAAAGTGTGAGAAAAGGCAGCCAGACAGGTTGGACCTTCAATTTGACCGAGATTTTGACATCTGTGGCGGAATGTGCAGAAATAATACGAGTTACTCGCATACAGAAATACCGTAACAACAACACTTCTTCAGACATTCACTCCTCTCAGTAATCGCTGGGGTGATGTAATGACTAATGATACGCCTCAGATTACGTGATCATAATAAGATTACAGGCATGGTGTTCCTTATATGGGATGAGCGGTTCGCCCAGACGTCACACTGAAGCTGTGACGTCACACTGAAGCTGTGACGTCACACTGAAGCGGACGTGTTAAAGTCCAGGAGTGTGGGACTCTGACGACGTGTTGTCAGCTCGACCTCGTCAAACAAGGTGGAGCTAGCGCTAGTGACGACGTGACGTTAGCGCTAGTGACGACGTGACGTTACCGTTCCCTCCCAGGGCGGACACTTTACAGCTGGTATATATAGCAGGAGTTGAACTGAGAAAAGTATCAATATCCCACAGTTCACTTTTCTTCATAGTTTTAAATACAACTTTTTGACCGTACTGTTTAACATGTTGCTTGTTGTTGCCTGCCTATTCGTTAGCGCTACCGCTCTGGAGGACATCATGCCTGTTATTCTCGAAGGACCAACCAATTTGACGAGAGGCATCGGAGAAACTGCTATTTTTCTCTGCAAAGGAGAAGGCAACCCCACTCCCAACGTTATGATCGTGAAAGAGGACACTATATCTGACTTCAACATGTTCAACGTTGGTGGATCGGGTTTTAGGTCTCTGGAAAGCAAAGTGAGTGTTGAAAGGACCCTTCAGAATGTGGCCCGTACTGATGCCGGATGGTATGTCTGCATCGTATCCAACCAACACGGAGTTACCTTCAGCAGAGCTTACTTGGACGTTAAGGAGGACCTGTGCAGAGGAGTGAGGTGCCCTAAGAGGAAGTTCTGTTCTGCCAACTACCAGACTCTCACCACAGAATGCAGGTGCAAACCTTGTGAAGACTCAACCTACAGACCTATCTGCGCTTCTGACTGTCAGACTTACTTCAACACCTGCCACATGAAGACTCACAGTTGTGAGAACAACATCCAGCTGACATTAGTTAACAAGGGAGAATGCAGGATCGACCCACTGGAACTAACTGTACCTGCCACCAGGATTGAGCTGTACAAAGGAGACAGCCTGTCTCTGACTGTTTCCCACACTGGTAGTCCTAAACCTACATCTCTTAAATGGGTTAAAATGAGGAAGAACGGCAAACAGAAGATGGTCAGTGAAGACAGCGAACATTTTGTACAGAGTGTAACGGAAAAAGATGCTGGAGTCTACAAGTCTATCGCTCTCCAATGTAACAACAAGGTTGTTTCCAAGGACGTCGAGGTTGTTGTTATTCCCAAAGAAGAAGATAATTTCGTTGATAGCCCTAAAGCAAATGTCTGCAAAGTTTTCGGAGATCCCCACGTACAGACATTTGATGGAAGGACCTATGATTTTATGGGAGCGTGCGACTACGTCTTAGCAATGGATGCCATTGCACAATCTTGGATGATTGTTGGTAAGTTCGAAAAACATAGCCTGATTTCCTCTAACTTCTAAATTTATAATTCTGTGCTCTTATAATACCATGTAACAAACATACCAAAATTGTAAACTTTGTTCCCATATTATAATATCTCAGAATCGTCACATTGCAATTTGCTAACCGCAACTTATTTCAGGTCGATTCATGCCATGTGGAAACGGAGTAACCTGTTTGGAGCAGATCACACTTCATCACGACAGGAGCAAGGCCCCCCTGATCATCACCAGAGGTTGGATAGTCGCACAGAACGGAGAGAAGTTCCGTCTCAAGAAGAACAAGCCAGTTGAAATAGACGACCTGCTCGTGAGCTACACCGGATTGACGATAGAGCTGAGCAGCATGGTTCACGGGATAAAACTGCAGTTTGACGGGTTCTGGGGAGTCCAAATCATCGCCAGCCCTGGAGTAGCCACCATGGGACTGTGCGGTAACAACAACGGAGAGCCTGGAGATGACATGTTTAGAGGAAGGTTCGGAATCACAGGAGACGATATCAACAAGTTTGGTGTAAGCTGGGGCTACAGATACAACTGGTGTAAAGTAGAGGAACCTGTCGGAGAGGTTACCTGCGACAACCAAGCTGAGGTGGAGGAGACTTGCGATAATATTCTACAGTCAGAAGCTTTCTCGGAATGTGAAACTCTTATCGGCACTAAGTTCTACAGGGACTCCTGCATCGTAGACGGATGTGCTGCTAAAGTGGAACGATATGAGGGGAATACTCTCTGTGCCTACGCTAACTCTCTTGCCCAACACTGTCAGGTTGCTGGATTCAAAGTCCCGAGGAACTTCCTCCAGCAGATTGGTTGTGGATCTAAACGAGAGTTCCAGGAGGCTGTTTATAATTCAGGATGTCCCCTCCAAGGTGATCCTCCCTTCCTTGATACTGAATAGACTATTCTAATTCTTAGACACTGACACAGTGGATTTAGGCACTGAAGTTTTTTTATAAAAAACTAATTTATTTTAAAGATTTAAAGATTTTTTACTGTAAATTTGTATTTGAAAGTATCGTTTCGTCATAACGTATTTTAAACGATTTTTATATTTGATGTATGACTTTGTAACATTGTTTGGTTTTGTTATTTGATTATTGATTTTAATGTTATAAAAAAGAATACTTCTTAATTGTTGTTCTACATTCCCGAAAGAGAGTGATCAACTAACTAGCAGGAGCATGTTAATCACAATTGAAATTAGTGAGCAAACGATTCGTACAACAAATATCGGGTCATATTATAGAGAATATAATTTTATTGACGGTATTCGGGTTAATACTAATATCTAATTTATTATTCCCGGACGGCTCCAGCTAAACTCACACTAATCTCACGAAGCATTTTCCACAGTTTTCCGCACCTCAACTTCACACCAATTTTATAACACCTCCCTCACAAATTCATTCCACTAGACTTTCAAAGTAGCAACCTTCACTTATCACCATCCTAACACTACCCTAGCGACAACCAATCACATATCAGAAACACAAATCACGTGACACTTGATTAACCCTCCATAGCCGTCCGTGGTCTCACCTCTAATCAGTTCTTAGTATAAATTTCTCATACGCAATGATTTTGTAATTAAGAGTCTTTAATTTACAGTTTTCCTGACTTAAGACTTTTCGAGTCACCTACAAAACTCGTGTATCACTTGAATAACCTAAAATAGAGTAGCTCGAGTAGTCCTCAAGATCCCGGTAGCACCGGCCTCTACAATATTATATATACATCAAATTTTATGCAGAATTTATAACAGTACTTACCGTCCGATTGATCCTGCAGAAAATGAATATCTTTTATTTATCACTGTTTATCATATCTGGAAAATGAACGGAGTAATCTAGGGGTTATTATAACGGGAGAACACAGAATGAACACAAATCTTTTGAAACAGAGTCGTTACTTAGAAAGTATATCGTTATTCTTATCAATGAGACAAACTAATCATCGAGACTGAGACAATTAACAAAATATTTTTACAACAAGCTCTCCAGAAAAGCAGGGATATAAGAAATTGAATAGAAAGGAACTTTATAGTAATATCATTGAAATATTGAAATTATTACAGCGTACATAAATCAATTCAAAATCGTCAAATACGAATATTCCGTCAACATCAAGAAATATTCCGTTCACGTCAAAAAGGTTATTTCATAATCCAAGAGTCCAGTTCTTATAAATACAAATTACAAACTCAAATGTAAAACTGAGTGTTTATAGATTACATTGTTGGTACACTCCTAATTAGGATTAACAGTGAGCCTCCGTCGTAGTCCGAGTAGCTTGCAAATGAAGCGTTTGTAGTCGTAACACGTGATACCCTTCTTAGCATACTTCTCACTCTCGGGCCCGAAATGCTCGGTCATATGCTTCTCACAGTAATCCCACAGACCGGGGTACTGTCGAGTCAGACGCTTCAACGATTTCTGTGTCATGAAGGGTTTGCCATCAACCAGCAAGTTGAAGTTGGTCTCTAGCTCTTGCCTCTTCAGAAGTAGAGTGGGAACACGGACGTCAGGGTTCGATAGTTTGTAGACAATATCTAACCACCCAGCGCAAGTAATTCGGCCGTATGGATCTAGTTTTGAAGAGTATTGCAACAAGGCAGAGTCAAGGTCACTCTTATAGCTGATATCTTTAGCAGCAGCCTTGGTTGGGGGTAAGAAAACTAGATCGTCATTTTCACTCATTTTGACGTTTTCTCGTAGGCATAGAACTCTAGTGCCTAGGTTCGAGTAGAATTCAGAGCTCTGGTTGAGGAGAATCTTTCTCTTGACCATATCTTCCATAGTTGGGTTGTCCAAGTCAATGAGGTTGATCTGATACATTACATCGTCAAGCATCACCAACATGGTAAAAATGCAGTGATTCCAACAGTTCATCAAATCTATAACTTGAGGTGTGGTTTGACCTCTTTTGTGAAGGGGACGTGCAGCTTCCACGATAAGGTCTGTTTTCTCTTTCCTCATCTTAACCAACTTCGCAAAGATACGTTCATACTTATTTGCTTTATGCTCTGCTGTGGTCTTATCAACCTTCACACCTTTTCCATCGCGTCCCTTTATCTCACGAATAATATCAGTGACGAGCTCCCGTGTTTCCTGGGCAAGGGTTTGTAATTGCTTCTCGAAATTTCCAGTGCACCCAGCATCAAGTTGAGACGCAATCTTAGCTTGAATCTCCGCCCATTGCATTGCTTCAGAAGCACTCTGCATCGTTCTCTCCCAGTGTGATAAGGCGGCCTTCAGAGTGTGACTGGTGTAAACATTGAAGGGAATGCGATGCTTGGAACTGATTGTATCCTTAATCTCCTGTATGGTGGACACGGCATCAAGCTCATCAGCAACAGTAGAGAGCTTCGCCATAGCTGTTGTGGCATACTGAATCATCCTCTTAGCTTGAAGACCATACTTGATGACAGGTCGTCTGGAGAAATATTCGTAGAACTCTTTGAGCTCATCCTCAATGTTTTGGAGCAGGGTAGATTCTTCCACATAGAGACTATCCAGATCTCGTGCTTCTCCTTCAAGCCTCTCCAAGTGCTCTTTAGCGTCAGCAGTTTCATTAAGCAGTACCTGGTATTCATCAAGAACAGCGACAAACTTGTCCTCGTTATCACATTTATCTTCCTGGGACAGATCAGCGTCACTGAGAGCATCATAAAGGATCTCAGCATGCTGCAACTCTTCCTTCATCTCCTTATTTTCCAAATCAAAAGTCGCCATAAGTTTGTGTCGCATCGTCAGGACGGAAAGGTTGTACCTGTCGGCCTCAATGTCAGCCACAGCACTTCTCCAGCGTTTCACCCAGCAGCGGAGCATCGAGAGCTTCTTGCCAAAGTCTCGGCTATAGTCTTGTACTTTAGCAACCGACTTCTCTAACTTTTTCGCAAGATGAACTTGTTTTCTGTAGACGGAGAGCATTGTTTGAAAACATTTCTCAATGTTTGGAAGCCGGTGTTTTGGATCAATCACAAGATCAGATTTCTGAGTTAGAAGTCTAGCCTTGGACCGGAATTTGGTAGTCAGTTGACTGATATCAGTGAATTGCTGTGTCTTATTCTCCATACTGGCTGAGAGTAAACAACGCACTTCAGCCAGAATGTTAGCATTATTACTCTCATCGGTACTCATCAACCTAGTATACTCTTTCATAGATGTAATAGAGTACTGCAGATCATCGTAGCAGGCAGCACTGAGATCACGAATTTCATGACCAATGTCGTCTATCTCTTTGTACTTTCGCAGAAGTTTATTCAGAGTTTCCTCAGGACTTCCTTTTGGGAAGGGTCCATTCCACTCCTTCTTCTTTCGCTTCACTGGTTCAGAGCTTACGTTGACAGCAAAAGATTCGAATTCATTATTCTGGCTGGTATCAAAATAGATCATATTCCTTCTTCTTAAACTGTGATTATTTGATGTTAGATTTATCAAAAAGCTCTATGAGAAAATTGAAGATTTAATTGGTCACAGTGCAATATATCATTCAAATTTCGTTCTGAAGAATTAACACGGCGCCTTAAAAATAATGCACACTGAACGTTTATGAAAAACAAACAGGCAACCGCTGGCACTGAACTCGTGGTTCAACACTTTATGGGAGACCTTGAAATCGCTTCAACATGAAAGGAAAGAAAAATGTTTCGAATCAGCTAATAATGGCGATAAATCATATCAATATCATTAATTACAGCGGGGCCACATTAATCCGTCGAAGGAAAACAAAATATTAATAAAAGGTGAAAAAAGAAACCAACTACGTTCACTTAGGAGAGCATGTGTCATAAGTTATAGAAAATTGTATTATTGTCTCGTTAGCAGTTAGACAGCTTAAGTCTATCTACATTGTGCTGGACCTTTGTTTATCGTAAGAAGTCTCTATTTTTTCTTGATCCGCCAGAGCACTGTGCTTGCATGGTAATTGGTAACGTCAAGAAATAAGAATCATGGCCGAAGTACCTAAATTCTAAAAACTAAAATCCTATTAGATACATTGTCCGGCCCTTCGATGTAAAGTTCAAGCCATTATTGCTAGATGGTAATTAATTATTCAAGCGTGATGAAAATTGAAATAGGTAGTAGCTAAACAACATAATGAAATGGATCGAAGAAATGCGGAGAAACCAGAACATTTATCCAACGCGAGAACATAAATGTCGATATTACTGAAAAGCTAATGCTTTGCGCGGCTCTACTATTTCGGTAAACAATCAAATTTCCAATAATAATTAAATCAAAAATTAATTGATATTTAAATTTAAGTATGAATAATTTTTATTATGTAAATTTTAAATTCTTATAAATATCAAAAATGTATTATTTGATCCATAATATTTATAATCTACTAAGACGCGCGTCAAATTAAATTTGTTAACGGTCCAATAGGTTAAATGATAAAAATAAATACAATAATTTTTGTACTGTGCACATATTATGGGAGAGTATTGTATAAATATAAATACATTTTAGTGACTAAAATTATTAAAAAGTATTTCAGTGTAATCAACAATTCTTGTTGGTATCAAATTCTTAAATGTCGAATAAACGCCGCGCAACATGCCAGTCAGCAGAAATAAAAATAATAAAGTCTGTGAAAATCGAGCGCTTCCAAGAGTTATTCTGATAGGTTTATGTTGATCGATGTACACGTATCTAAGCCCTTTTGTTTGATTAAATTCGATGTGTTCGTACGTTAATCTAGGGTTGTGCTATGTTAACCATAAATAAATTATCATTAGGCCTCTGCAGTCCCTAACATTGATTATTTCATGGGAGTACATTTGGATCACGAAAGCTTCTTGATTAGAATTTAAATTAAATTAAATCTTGATAAATCATGATGTATTCTCGATTGATAATTGGGTATACTTTCCGGATTGCATTTGATCACAGCTGTCTCAACACAAAGTGTGCTCGCTGAGAATGACTCTTATGTCAAAATTGCACGTGATCCTGCACTCGTTCGGTGAGGGACCAGGCTTGAATATTATATAAATACCCATAATTCTCTTGTGTCTCAACTCCAATGCTCGCTTCACCATTTTCCAGCGCTATGTACATCGGGATTCGAGTCAAGCAATATGTTCAAATTCAATGGCCTCCTTGGGCCACACTGTCACAAGTGGCAGCTTACTGACGGTCTGGTCAACAGCAAAAACGTTGCTTTTAGTTGTTAATTTGCACCGAGTCACTCGAGAAGCTCTATGACTCTGTGGCAGAAATTAAAATGACCCGACTATTACCAAATTATTTGCACATCTGATGAGATTAACGGTATCTTTATATCTAATTATTTACAGGATGATAAAATGTAAGTTTCCTTGTAGATATCATCCCTCCTCTGTACTCTGTGCCTTCCTTTCCCAAAACAGCTTAAAAGATCAGTAAGTAATTTACACACTTTTTTTATTAATTACTTTCAGCCTTAATAATAATGATCAACTTATGTCTATGAGCCAATTGATTCAAAATTCACATACATTCCATGTTTCTTTATCTGACACGTTTCTCAGGTTGTTAAAGTCTGTTGATAACAGAAAGAATACTCCAAAAACATTTCCTGTCGAGTTCAAAGCAGCTTCCTCTCCTCCTGTACACAGGGATGAGGCCAAAGAAAGGTTTTTTGCTTTTTACAATTCCTCTAACTCGTTCATCTTTAAACTTTAATCTATTAGAATGCCACTTCTATTTTTTCTTCAGACACTGATTTCGAATAATTTTATATCACCCTTTACTTCATCACTACTTTTCAAAGGTGTGACAGGGCAGTGTTAGAAGCTCTTTCTAGAGCAAACCAAAATGCACTGAAGACTGGAAATGTGCTCCTTCCCTTCTCAGCCATGAACTCTGCTGTTGTGAGTAAACTACAATTAACTTAGTCACTGAAATAACGCATTGCTTAGTAGACTTCCTAATCTACAGTATGATTAAGACATTTTATTAGTGCAGTTCTTTAATTATCTTGCATTTAACACATTTACTCAGTTATAAGCTAACTTTCTAGAAAACCAAAAATATATTACACATCATTTGCATTGATCATTAGTTGAAACCTGATCAATACTTCTAATTTCTCAGACAGAGAGAGGTGTTAAGACAGGAGCATTGTTGGATGTGAGACGGGCTGGATACGAGCTAGCTGAACAGTTCATTATGAAGTTTCCAGAGTCCTTTAAAATACGCTTCTCTGACAAAATGTCTGGTGCTAAACTGACTTATATTGAGGAACTGTGTAGAGATAAGAAGGTGGAGAAGGCTAAGCAGATGTTTGAAGAGATTTTAGTTACGGGGGAGTGTGAATATTTGATGGATAAAAAGAAGGATCTAGATGCTTTGATAGACTTGTTTGCGTTCTATAATGTTTCCGAAGATATGGTTGATAGACCAGTAGTCTATGTGAGTATTTAGTATACAGGGTGGCCCATAAGTGACTACCCACACGCAACCTCTTAATAACTCACGTAATTCGTCTCCAAATTGCACCAAAATTTCAGAGATTATAGATATGGGTCAAACTTAGATTTCCTGAAAGTTTCGTAAGCCACGCCCAATTACAGTGGGCGTGGCGTGACACTCCCTCTTTTTCACTATTGTCTTCATAAAATGAGAACGCTTTTAGCTAAGAACTCAAAATTTTTTGCACACATTTGGCTTGATAATTGAAAACTTTTCCAAAAGTTTCAAGTTCATTGGTTAAAATATGGCTAAGTTATGACCATTTCAAAACTCATCGGATACGTGATCCGAGCACTCAGTCAGTGATCTCGTCACTTGGTTAATGGCCTGTTTGGCTCACATGCACCGCTTGATTGGTTGCAGCCTGCTTATGGGCCGGCCTATACAGTTGACAGCACCTAAAACGCTATCACACGAATTTATGGTGGTGTCACCATTTCAGGGCTTGTTAGCCCTGCTAGTCACAGGTTCCTTACAATCAATAAAAAGGAATGAACCATCCATTGAATCATCGAAAATCCTCCCTTTACTGCAGAACAACGATTGTTCGTCTACCTGAAGAAAGAAAATGGGGAGTTCTACCCTCAGATTAAACGACAATTTCAGATGAAATTCAACCGACCACCCCCTTGCCGGAAAAGCTGCTTTGACATTCATCACAAAATCAAGTTTACGATTTCTGCACACGATCGGCGAAGAGTCGGCAGAAGACGAACTGCGAGGACTGTAGAAACAGCACCCGGAAACGAGCTCCTGCCTTAGACATCAGCAGAACAACCCTTCAGCGAATCCTAAAGCAAGACCTTTCTAACCGGGCCTACCGAATCACAAAGAAACACAAACTTTTGGACCGTGATTTCCAATCGAGGATAGATTTCGCCAACACATTCCTGTCCAAGCAGAATGTGGATCCCTACTTTGAGGACGAAATCTGGTACAGCGACGAGGCTCACTGCCATATAAACGGATATGTCAACTCCTAGAATGCAATTCACTGGGGCTCTACTAGACCGGATGAAGTGGTGGAGAGAACGGCTTTAGCTGATTTCATTTATTGATTTATCCTAAAAATTTGTGTTTTACTTTCTAGCAAAGTCATCATCGGTATCCAATCAAAGCCTAATGAACCTCATTAATACACGCTAACGCCTTACTCTTGATCAGATTGGGTGACGAGATCACTAATTGAGTGCAAATATCACTGACTGAGTGCTCGGATCACACATCCGATGGATTTTAAAATGGTCATAACTCAGCCATATTTTAACCAATGAACTTGAAACTTTTGGAAAAGTTTTCAATTATCAAGCCAAATGTGTGCAAAAAATTTTGAGTTCTTAGCTAAAAGCGTTCTCATTTTATGAAGACAATAGTGAAAAAGAGGGAGTGTCACGCCACGCCCACTGTAATTGGGCGTGGCTTACGAAACTTTCAGGAAATCTAAGTTTGACCCATATCTATAATCTCTGAAATTTTGGTGCAATTTGGAGACGAATTACGTGAGTTATTAAGAGGTTGCGTGTGGGTAGTCACTTATGGGCCACCCTGTATATAATGGTCATGTTACATGTAACGAGGCTATTTGAGTGATGGGCCAAAAGTTTAAAATCTAGTTGACTTTATGAATATAGATTTATTACTGTAAGTCATTTTAAAAGACTCTTTTGTTCATTCATGTTCTAGATAGTAGAATATACATTTTATTGCACGTTCATGCTAATTAAATTTTCACTGTTGGCCATTATTTTAAAACCTTATATCTTTAATTCTGCAATGGCGTGCTTTTTACTTACAGTTCCTGTATATTGTGTATAATAATATTCTTTGCAGAACGAGATAAAACAATGCTCTGAATACGTAAAAAGAACATTGAATGAAGACGGGTTAGTTAAAAATACATGCTGAGCTTGTAATGACAGCTACACAATATGTGCAGTGGACAGCTTCACACTTCTACATTATATAAACTATTAACCATCAAAAATGTTTAAAGATGCTTTTAATTGAGCGTCGTTCACTATAGATTTTAATGCCGGGAATGTTTGGAGCATGCATATTGCATAGTACTGCAAACGACTTATCCTAATTTCCTCCCCAGTTCCTCGGAGGGGGTATCAGTAGAGTTGCCCTACTCCAGGTCCTTATTTAAAACTATGGATGTAGAACAGAGGAATGTGGACTATGTGATAGCAGATCTGATGAAACCAGATGTGATGCCTGTAAGTAAAGAATGTTATTTTGAATGAATTATAAGTTTTTTTTTCTTTTTTACACGTATTTGATGGTGTTACCGACGCGATGGTGACCTAAATGTGCAATTAATTTTTGATTCCGGGTATTGTGATTAACTGAGGCTGCGTTCAGAGAGTAAGTGCTGAGAAGAAGCAGAAGATGATAAACAATATTGTTGGAGATGAGGAGCCTCGTTCTGTTATGTCAATCTCCAGCTTGTAAGTTACTGCTAGTTTAACTCGTCGTGTTATTAATTTTAAAGTTGTTGCTTATTTTTAGCATGAATAATAGCAAAACATGTTTGGCAACGGTCCAATAGTACACAGCTCCCTCTCAGCAAGAGCAAATCTAAGATTCTTATTAACTTGCTGTGTATATCGTTAATAGAATAAATTAAACCGAGCGCTCGCAACATTAGGTTTTTTCGGATGATTTGATATTTAAATTTGTAATCATGCTCAGCTATAAAGTTATTATTTCAGGTATGAAGAAGCGAAGAATGCCGCAAAGTAAGCACTTAACATGGAAATTACATAGCATTATTCATTAATCTCTAGGTCATCCGCTAGGTCATCCTCTAGAGATTTAACACTCAAAGTAACCCTGTTGTTTAAATAACAAATTAACTTGCTAGAACGAAAGAAGACACAACTCTAAATCTAACCCCTCATTCTAACCCCTCAATCTAACCCCTCGGCCCTCATTCTAACCCCTTAATCTAACCCCTCATTCTAACCCCTCAATCTAACCCCTCATTCTAACCCCTCATTCTAACCCCTCATTCTAACCCCTCAATATAACCCCTCTCTAACCCCTCAATCTAACCCCTCAATCTAACCCCTCAATCTAACCCCTCAATCTAACCCCTCATTCTAACCCCTCATTCTAACCCCTCAATCTAACCCCTCATTCTAACCCCTCATTCTATCAGCGACAACACCGAGCTGATCTACACCAAGAAGGAAGGTCTAGCCTCCCTCCCAAAACAATCAGCTCCCCTTTACATCAGTGTGATGGAGGAGACCACCTCGCTAGCCCTACAATCTCTACAATACCTGAAGGAGCAGGAACTGGTGTCTGGTGGTAATTACGACAGTGTTATCCAGGCTGCTGTCCGGTTCCATCGTCCTGATCTGGCGTGGGAGCTATATGTGGAGATGCGGGAGCAGGAGTTCCTTCCTTCTACTGATACTGTCACTGATCTTATATACAGGTGTGTGTTACTGTCACTGATCTTATATATACAGGTGTGTGTAACTGTCACTGATCTTATATACAGGAGTGTGTTACTGTCACTGATCTTATATTATACAGGTGTGTGTTACTGTCACTGATCTTATATACAGGAGTGTGTTACTGTCACTGATCTTATATTATACAGGTGTGTGTTACTGTCACTGATCTTATATACAGGTGTGTGTTACTGTCACTGATCTTATATACAGGTGTGTGTTACTGTCACTGATCTTATATACAGGTGTGTGTTACTGTCACTGATCTTATATACAGGTGTGTGTTACTGTCACTGATCTTATATACAGGTGTGTGTTACTGTCACTGATCTTATATACAGGTGTGTGTTACTGTCACTGATCTTATATACAGGTGTGTGTTACTGTCACTGATCTTATATACAGGTGTGTGTTACTGTCACTGATCTTATATACAGGTGTGTGTTACTGTCACTGATCTTATATACAGGTGTGTGTTACTGTCACTGATCTTATATACAGGTGTGTGTTACTGTCACTGATCTTATATACAGGTGTGTGTTACTGTCACTGATCTTATATACAGGTGTGTGTTACTGTCACTGATCTTATATACAGGTGTGTGTTATTTTGGTTATATATTATAGATCAGATGGAGAAAAGTGGTTTCGAGGCATAGTTGTATTAAACGAATAAAACATGGCTTCGGATTATGATAAGCAGCTACAGTTGTAAAAGACAGGAATTTAGGAATTACCCATTTTAGATTGTAAATTCCTCAGTGTGACACACAGCATGCCACCGGAGCAGTTTGTGAAGGAAGGAGCCCCTCACAGAATTAAAACAATATTGACTGATTTGACAGAAAATCCTACTACTAATATTACTGATGGTAAGGGGTGTGTTCTGTATTTATTCATTTTTGCTATTTTCGTCAAATTTTGTTGAATATCATTCTATTTCTAAGACTTAATGTTGACCAAAATCAACAAATATCACTGACTTTTCTTTATATTTTGGTATATTGTTCCTGGTTGATTATTTTTGGGTAAATCATTTCGTTGCAAGATCATGTATTGCTTAATTGCATGTACTGTTCGTGTGGAACTGAAATGTGGTGAATGTAAGCTTACACATTTCCAATTCCAGAGATGTTCCTAAACCTATTTTATGGATACCATATGGTAGACTTCGTGAAAGAGGAATACGAAGAAACTGACGAAGAAGATCGCGGAGGTTTACTTTCGCTAGAAATATTTTGATAACGATAGCATTTGTGTTTTTGCTTCAAATTTATCATCAGCATTTCATTTCAAGGTCACTATTAAGAAACTAATGGTCCAATTGAGAACATCAACTAAGTAAACCACAGGAAAGTCATCGAAGGGGAAGACAGATCCAAAGAAAGTGGCCTACCAGGCTGTTCGAGATGGTATCCACAAATATAACTACCACATCCTAAACGAAATGAGGGAGTGTATGATAAATGGCAACTTTAAAATGAGGTCTGTTTACCAGTTTACCATTTCTTGGAAACCTTTTGATTTTACTTGAAAATCTTGTGATGTTTGAAAACACAATTTTTCAACTGGTCATAACTAATCGTTTGATTATTTTTCTAGAATTGTTTACCGCAGCGCCAATAATCATGAAACCTTGCTGTAGTAACTATATCTGATTTTTTTACTACGATATTGTTATCACCCGTACATTAGATAAGACCAAACAGATACCATCACTTATTTATTACTATGACCAGGTATTCAACGGGTTATAAGATTCTGGAAATGCACAATCTCACTGTTGGTGATCACCGTAAGCCATACATTACAGCTCACCTTAACCGTGCTATGCTGGATCTCTACGATGATCGTCCGGACTTGTTTGTGAGGTAAGCAGTAAGAATCAGTTTTAGTATATACTTCTTGTGTGTGCTTATAGTGTGTTCTTCTGACACGTCATATTAAAGAACGATCCTACATTTTTTTAATCAGAATATCTGAGCAAATTCGAACCGTTTGTTTCTAGAATTAATTCAAGCATAATTATTGGCCATATCGGTGGTCGTTATGGGAAATTTTGAAGTAAACATGTTATCGCTTAAGCTACCTCATACAACATAATATATTTTTAATTATTTCTAACATATTTCTAATTATATAGTCTTTTTAATAAACTGATGGTTAGCAAGCTTACACTTATTGGGACTATCTTTTTGCAGGGATTTAGATCACGACAATTGTATCAATTTCGTGACGAAGCTAATTTATTATGCTAGACAAGGAACGGGAGGGTTTGACGTGGATGACTTTTACTCAAAACACCGAGAAGACCTCATTGCCATGAGTAGGACTTAGCTTCTTTTTGTGAATAAAATTGGATAGCTCGCACCCTCAGCCGAGTGGATTTTTAATTAAAACTGTAATTTGGAGAACATTCGTTAAGTTTAATCACATCACACCTAGAAAAATGTCAACATTTTCAGAAAAGTACGTCTCGCTCAACCCTGATAGTTTCAAAGCAAGCTGGAGTAAGTTGGAGAGTTACCTCTCGTTTGATCTGAAAACAATGAAAGGACAGCCTCTCCCAGAGGGTTTGTTCAGAAGATTGGAAGATGTGAGACGAGTCAACATCATAGACTTCTACAATGACATGTACAAGGATGTGAGTTATGGTTAATAGTAGAAATAGAAGGATTTTGTTTAATAACTTGATAAATAGATTTCTGCGTTTATTACACACTCAGACATTAAACACATACCCAAAACCTTTACTCAATTAAAAGGCTCCAAAAATTGCTATAGAGATAGGAGAAGTGGTGTTAGTAATAATCCCACAAAATTCTTACAAAAACACAATCCATAAATGAAAAATCTTAAGAGAAGCTCTTAACTGACCGGTCAAAGATATTAAATACAATAAGTATATTTCAAAATAACATTAAGATCCTATCATTATCTAGCTACTTGACACCTGTTTATATTAGCCCTATAATCTATATTAATTAGATTATAGGGCTGAAATTATAATTTCAGTATAAAGATTTATTGTATTCCGAAAATAAAATTAAACATTATTGTTTCAGAACCTAGAGCACCTGCCTGTGGGCGAAGCACGGAACATTATGGTTGAAGTGTTTAAGTTTGCCAGCTGTATAAACCCTTATACTGCAGATGTGGACTACGTGCTGGGGGTCTACAAGATGATTATCCAGGGTATAGCTGATAAAATAACATTTTAGGGAGGTGGTCGAGGGAGGGGGGTCTACAAGATGATTATCCAGGGTATAGCTGATAAAATAACATTTTAGGGAGGTGGTCGAGGGAGGGGGGTCTACAAGATGATTATCCAGGGTATAGCTGATAAAATAACATTTTAGGGAGGTGGTCGAGGGAGGGGGGTCTACAAGATGATTTTCCAGGGTATAGCTTATAAAATAACATGTTAGGGAGGTGGTCGAGGGAGGGGGGTCTACAAGATGATAATCCAGGGTATAGTTGATAAAATAATATTTTAGGGTGGTGGTTGAGGGAGGGGGGTCTACAAGATGATTATCCAGGGTATAGTTGATAAAATAACATTTTAGGGAGGCGGTCGAGGGAGGGGGGTCTACAAGATGATTATCCAGGGTAAAGCTGATAAAATAACATTTTAGGGAGGTGGTCGAGAGAGGGGGGTCTACAAGATGATTATCCAGGGTATAGCTGATAAAATAACATTTTAGGGAGGTGGTCGAGGGAGGGGAGGGGGTCTACAAGATGATTATCCAGGGTATAGTTGATAAAATAACATTTTAGGGAGGTGGTCGAGGGAGGGGGGTCTACAAGATGATTATCCAGGGTATAGCCGATAAAACAACATTTTAGGGAGGTGGTCGAGGGAGGGGGGTCTACAAGATGATTATCCAGGGTATAGTTGATAAAATAACATTTTAGGGAGGCTAGGTGGTCGAGGGAGGGGGGTCTACAAGATGATTATCCAGGGTATAGTTGATAAAATAACATTTTAGGGAGGTGGTCGAGGGAGGGGGGTCTACAAGATGATTATCCAGGGTATAGTTGATAAAATAACATTTTAGGGAGGTGGTCGAGGGAGGGGGGTCTACAAGATGATTATCCAGGGTATAGCTGATAAAATAACATTTTAGGGAGGTGGTCGAGGAAGGGGGGTCTACAAGATGATTATCCAGGGTATAGCTGATAAATTAACATTTTAGGGAGGTGGTCGAGGGAGGGGGTCTACAAGATGATTATCCAGGGTATAGCTGATAAAACAACATTTTAGGGAGGTGGTCGAGGGAGGGGGGTCTACAAGATGATTATCCAGGGTATAGTTGATAAAATAACATTTTAGGGAGGTGGTCGAGGGAGGGGGGTCTACAGGATGATTATCCAGGGTATAGCTGATAAAATAATATTTTAGGGAGGTGGTCGAGGAAGGCGGGTGGGTTTTCTAAGATATTAGGATGCATTACGAATACTGTAATTAATATGATCACAGAATCTTAATTTCAGAAAACATCAGAATATCAGAGGTATGCATCAAAGGCAACGCCGTCAACAACGACAAAATCTGGACCGTTGCTCTATTCACTTTCCTAGAAAATTTCTTCAACCACTTCAACGCAAAGTACCTGATATTATTCTTCCTATCAGAGGACAGAAGAGTTCCAGCCTCTTTACCTGGTTCAGGGGTAAGTAACTTCACAGCTAAGTAACACAGGACACGACATGACCATATAAGGGCACCACGTGTTAAAAAAAAACGATGACAGTAAGTGTGGGGAGGTGACGGTAATTGTCACTTAAGGGGGCCGGCGCGGGGGGGGGGGGGGGTCTTCATCAAAATTGTCACTTATAATCTAGGTAGAAGGTTCGTAGAGAAGTATAACAGACGGCTTTGTTTGTAATTAAATGGAAAGTTTGATTAATATAAGTCAGAAAAGTTCATGGCAATCAACAAACCGTGCAAAATGTTTTAGTCAGAGCCCAAATGATTTGTAAGAACACCAAGTCGCTCGTTTTAAAAGCTAATTATGAACGGTTAACATTTTTTACTAGCCGCATTGTTGTAATGGTCATATTCATCTTTTAAGATCATGAATACGATGTTGTTACATTGAAATGTAGAACATTTTCTCATCCTGATAAAAGCCTTTTCCATGTCGCTGTAAACGGGAAAACTACAAATTTTGCCCCAGAATGCTGAAGATAATTCTTAAAACAATTGAATTTTTGCATTTGATGCAATGAGGGCGTTTTGGCCACACCCTTTCCCAGAGGCTCGCGGTAATTCGATTTATTTTCATTTCCGACTACCCTTCGAGACATTTTTTTGCTTTCAGCTTTTCTCATCTTATTTATTTCAGGATATTGAAATGATGCAGTCCAGAAAATTAACACTCTCTGAGGTAAAGATTTTAATCTTAACTGTTAAACTGTTAAAACAGTTCACAATTGATATCTAATTATTTACCTTTCACTCTTTCACCATTTACCTTTTAACGGCTGATGTAGTAGTGTTTTGAATAAATGTTTTCTAAATTCTCAGAATAGTTATGATTAGGCTCTAGTAATTCAGGGTACTTAGAGTGATTCAATTAATTTAGGTAATTTAGACGATTAAAACGATTATTAGAATTCACATAATAATGGCGATAATCCTTTAAATTAGCTAGATATTATGTAATATTATTATTGTTATTACAAACTGGTTACCTTAACAACGACATATTTAGTCTACCTTAAATTTAATCAAAAATGTTGACTAAATTTCTTCTTCTGTCTGGTTAACATTGTTCACATGTCCTTCTTTTGTTTGGTTAACATTGTTCACAGGTCCTTCTTCTGTCTGGTTAACATTGTTCACAGGTCCTTCTTCTGTCTGGTTAACATTGTTCACAGGTCCTTCTTCTGTCTGGTTAACATTGTTCACAGGTCCTTCTTCTGTCTGGTTAACATTGTTCACAGGTCCTTCTTCTGTCTGGTTAACATTGTTCACAGGTCCTTCTTCTGTCTGGTTAACATTGTTCACAGGTCCTTCTTCTGTCTGGTTAACATTGTTCACAGGTCCTTCTTCTGTCTGGTTAACATTGTTCACAGGTCCTTCTTCTGTCTGGTTAACATTGTTCACATGTCCTTCTTCTGTCTGGTTAACATTGTTCACAGGTCCTTCTTCTGTCTGGTTAACATTGTTCACAGGTCCTTCTTCTGTCTGGTTAACATTGTTCACAGGTCCTTCTTCTGTCTGGTTAACATTGTTCACAGGTCCTTCTTCTGTCTGGTTAACATTGTTCACAGGTCCTTCTGGATGATTGACATTGATTTGTGGTCTCCTAGTTTCTCTGTCTAATCTCAATATCCTCCTGATATTTTCTCTCAGAGCAGGCATCCTCCAAATATAAAGGATAGGATTAGCAGCCGAGTTAGTGGCTATAAGCAGCATGCTGACCATGCTACGGTAGTACCCCTGCAGCCTATCAACTTGGTTACATTTCTCCCTGTTACCATGAAGCACGCAGTTTGTTCTTAAAATAATATTAACAACGTAGGGAACGTTGCAGACTTCGTAAACAAGAGAAAACAGTAAAATAGTTACTGTCGCCCTGTTTCTGGTTTTTTGTAGCTCTCTTTGTTGAAGATGGTGATTTGTTCTTGTCAGCAACCCTGCTGATATGACACAGCTTATAGCAACTACACACACTGGAACTATGAAGGTTACGCTGGTAGCTAGGTAACTAAAAAAGGGTGGAGCGTTTGTAGATGAGTCTGCATATAGTACACATCCGGGTAGCCACTTGAGCGTTATCGCTTGCTCAGAGATGCCTATTAGCGTGGCTAACATTGCAACTAAGTATGTTACTACAGCTACAATCAGATATCTGACTTTTTGTTTTTTAAAGGGTCTGAACAGTGAAACTGTCCTAGTTACATTCAGGCATATAACGAGGAAGATACTGAGTGCAACTGTGATGTGCCACAAATACGCCCAAACGAAACAACCGTATTCGTTACCGAACAATATGCCTGGTTTTCTTTTTGACCAGAGCGATATTCCCACAGGAAGTATTGACACGCTTATCACCATATCATTTGTCGTTATTATCATGTAGATAACACTGGAAATGTTCCTTGTTTTTGATTTGAAATAAAGGAAGCTGACTATGTTTCCTAATGTTCCGATAAGGAAGTACGCACAACATAGTACAGACCCGTAGAACGCATCTGCTACCTGGTTGAAGTTCAGTTCGTAGAAAGAATTCCAATCTGTTGCTGTCGAGTTATGATACTGCTCCATCCTGTCTAAAGTAAATGGTAAATTACGATTATCAAGATATTCAGTTTTTAAAAGAAGATAAAGAATGACGTGATAAAACCATCGAGCAGAATCTGCAGCACAAAATAGTGGTTGCTATTTCTCTTTTTGTTTCTTCGTCACTTTACAGTTTACCCCAGGTGGGAATTCCTTACAAGGTCATTGCTCTTCTTTGTCAGAGGCCTTGGTCATTTAACAAAATTTTCTCTCCTGCAATCGTAATATCACACAAATTTTGTTTGCTAGCAGCTGTGTTCCCTACAATTTTTCATTGTAAAGTATTTATGGGTTCCGTTTTTTACGATCTGCGAACAATTATTGTTTACAGTATAGTATCATTTCTCCATCAGAGCTCTCTAATAGGACCAACAAACTCCAAGTTTGTCATGACTGTAGATCGCAAAAGCTCTAACAGCTGTTATTAATTATATTTAGAACACGTACAACTTTTCTAAGCCACACGTGTGTTTTGCGTACTGCACATTATGTGTACTGCACGTGCGTTATACGTACTCCACATGTGCGTTATGCGTACTGCACGTGCGTTATACGTACTGCACATGTGCGTTATGCGTACTGCACAATTATACGAGTACCATTAAAACTTGATAAATAATATCGTATTGTTACACTCAAATTCCGTGTAAAATCATTATTCTTCAAGCTCGTTCAACTTAATATGCTAGAATAAACTAGAATAAACTAGAATAAACTAGAATATACTAGAATAATCTAGAATATACTAGAATATACTAGAATATACTATACTAGAATATACTAAAATATACTAGAATATACTAGAATACACTAGAATACACTAGAATATAATACTAGTTAAATATTGTTGTTGAATATATGTATAATATATTATTTTCATTGTCTTGTTTTCAGACGAATATTAGAGACGTAGTAAACTTGACAACCAGCGCTTTAACACATCTCTTAGAACACGAAGGTACATTGTTTTGTGTTTTATTAATGCTTTATTCCTTTTGATTCTTTATGTAGCGGGCCGGGTGGTGTGTACTAAAACTGGGTAGTTAATAAGTTGTTAATAATAACTCGTTTTGATCCTTACGTAACGGGCTTGAGAAATGTAAGTATAGTACTATATTTAATAGTATAAAGTATATAATTAATGTATAAAGCTGGTAATCCCAGGGGTACCAACTACAATCATGGTATATGTTCTGATCAAGTTCACGCTACTGTCCGGAGCATACGAGCAAGCTTGGAAACTCCTAGACATTTACAACACTTATAGTGAGTTGTGGCTATCAAATTATAATAATTGTGATTAATATATTTTTTTTTTTTTTTGTTCAGGGAGCAGGCTTGCCACATAGGTCCAGGAGTACCGAACGTTTAGGCAGGGTGCTAGGTTATGGAACACACTCAACTAGGTAGTAGGTAGTCTGAGAGTCCGAAAATCTCCAAAAGGAGATGTCATCAGAGTGTGATCCACTGCCTGACTAACCTGTGGGTAGAGTTCATTAGACTCTATAATGATGACAGGTAGTATCTTCTGTATGTTGCTGAGATCCAGTGTCCATGGTACCTATTTTTGAATTAGTTGGAAGAAGGATAATCGATAATATTGAAACCACTTTCTGCAAATTACACTGATAACTGAAATAAAAATTTAAAAACCAATAATAAATATAAGGATAAATACCTTGACTGAAATAGTGAATGTCTCTGAAGAAGGAGAGACGATAAAGCATGATACAACACGGTATGTTGAAATAAAGCCTGTCTCTGAAGAAGGAGAGACGATAAAGCATGATATGACACGGTATGTTGAAAGAAAGCCTGTGTCTGATGAAGGAGACACGATAAAGCATGATACGACACGGTATGTTGAAAGAAAGCCTGTCTCTGAAGAAGGAGAGACGATAAAGCATGATGCGACACGATATGTTGAAATAAAGCCTGTCTCTGAGGAAGGAGAGACGATAAAGCATGATACGACACGGTATATAGAAAGAAAGCCTGTCTCTGAAGAGGGAGAGACGATAGAGCATGATACGACACGGTATGTTCAAAGAAAGCCTGTGTCTGATGAAGGAGACACGATAAAGCATGATACGACACGGTATGTTGAAAGAAAGCCTGTCTCTGAAGAAGGAGAGACGATAAAGCATGATGCGACACGATATGTCGAAATTAAGCCTGTCTCTGAGGAAGGAGAGACGATAAAGCACGAAACGACACGGTATGTTGAAATAAAGCCTGTCTCTAAAGAAGGAGAGACGATAAAGCATGAAACGACACGGTATGTTGAAATAAAGCCTGTCTCTGAAGAAGGAGAGACGATAAAGTATATTACGACACGGTATGCTGAAATAAAGCCTGTCTCTGAAGAAGGAGAGACGATAAAGCATGATACGACACGGTATGTTGAAAGAAAGCCTGTGTCTGATGAAGGAGACACGATAAAGCATGATACGACACGGTATGTTGAAAGAAAACCTGTCTCTGAAGAAGGAGAGACGATAAAGCATGATGCGACACGATATGTTGAAAGAAAGCCAGTCTCTGAAGAAGGAGAGACGATAAATCATGATACGACACGGTATGTTGAAAGAAAGCCTGTGTCTTATGAAGGAGACACGATAAAAACGACAAACGATACGTTATGCTGGAAATATGGAAATCTCTGAAGATTAAACAAATGGCAAGAAAAATACTATAAAAGACCCATCGCAGGATCTGGTGCTGGCCAGCCTGTGAACGCACAAAATATCTGCACTGTGCAGAAAAACTAGAAATAACCGAGGAACTAAGGCGATGTAGCGCCGAAACAAGTGAAACATTCCCAGATGGGGAGAAGGAACCATCAACTCAGTGTGCGAGACCAAGAGATAAACAAATACTTAACAGTAACACAAATAAATGTGCAGTTCAAAATACTGTTATGCTAACTGTAAGCGTAAAAAGTATGGGGAGAAGTAATGAAAATGGGAGTGATAAAGTCACATCCAAAGAGTTAGTGAAGAAGGTGTTTACAAACCTTGACCAGAAGTGTCTAATGAAGTAAGTCAGACAAGCAAACGCTTCCTTAAATGATGATTTAAGTCGTCTCTATCCCAGAAATTATGAATGATGACCCAGTGTAAAAGTGCAGAAATCGGCCGAAAATAACAAAGACTACAAACAGTTAAAAAGTGACAGGATTCAAACACAAGGAAAATTAATAACATAAAGCGTAATAAGGAATATCTCCAAAAGGAGTTTTCTTAGAGGGTGAGAGGTTCTTTAATGAGACCTAATGATTAAATGAGACCCACTAAAGGTACTAAATTAACCGGACTGCTAGCGAGGAATCGAGAGTAGGAATAAAATAAAAGCGGAATAAGTTCTAAGATAACGAAAAACTGGTACAGACAGCTAAAGTCCTAACACGGAGTCTAGGAAAAACCTGTGAACCAAATAAGTAGAATGGCACCCGAGCATGAAGTGTTAAAATATATACCGTTCAAGAATGCCTGCGGAGGCATCACTCCTTCATAATGCACGTGTTAGAAAATTTATTTATTAAAAGATAAAAAGAATAAAGCTACAAAATTAACGAAGCGGTGAAAATCTTAGAGGGTGAGAGGTTCTTTAATGAGACCTAATGATTAAATGAGACCCACTAAAGGTACTAAATTAACCGGACTGCTAGCGAGGAATCGAGAGTAGGAATAAAATAAAAGCGGAATAAGTTCTAAGATAACGAAAAACTGGTACAGACAGCTAAAGTCCTAACACGGAGTCTAGGAAAAACCTGTGAACCAAATAAGTAGAATGATTGTGATTAATAAATCAGTAATTAATATAATATATAGTTTAATCATAAGATTTAATTATAGAATTTAATGATGATCCATGTGCAGTGTGCACACTGCATAGTGCAGCTAAAATGGGGTAGATACAAAGAAAAACAAATATTTGCTGCTCAGCAATCTTACTTGTTTCTAATTGACAATCTAACTCATCTCATAAGTGAATCAATATATTATTAAAGTTTCAAAATAATTTGTTAATAATATTTGCAGTTTGTTAACATATAATCACGTGTTTCAGATATACCGCTGGATGATAACCCGCTGCTAAATTACATCGAACTTACAACTAACTGGGAGTCAGATGGTAAATTATTTAGTTAGATTGTTATTTCACTTAAATATAATGCTGAGATAATTGATTCATCAGCTTAGTCGTTTGTTTGACTAATTAACTACACTTAAATGTGTCTCTTGGAGTAACGTGAGTTTGAACTGGTATATTTTTCAGAGTGCCATTTACCTCGACCTTCGTAGGAGTCATATTTACCTCTTTGTGTTCCTTATTCTACCACGTGACTTGTACCACGTGACTTGTACCACGTGACTTGTACCACGTGACTTTTACCACGTGACTTGTACCACGTGACTTGTACCACGTGACTTGTACCACGTGACTTGTACCACGTGACTTGTACCACGTGACTTGTACCACGTGACTTGTACCACGTGACTTGTATCACGTGACTTGTACCACGTGACTTGTATCACGTGACTTGTACCACGTGACTTGTACCACGTGACTTGTACCACGTGACTTGTACCACGTGAATTGTACCACGTGAATTGTACCACGTGACTTGTATCATGTGACTTTGTGTTTCAGGTGCAAGTTATCTGGAGAGCATTGCAGAGCCGCTTCAAAGTTCAGTGCGGGGACGGATAGAAAAAATGGAGCGAGAAAAGAAAGAGTGAGTTCTAATCTACTAAGTTACTTACTAAATTACTAAACTACTAAGTTTTTAAAGTTCACCAATACTCCCTGTTATGTAGATATTATGAGGAATAGTCCTATTTTCTGACTTTACCAAGCGTTACTAACGCTTAGCGTTAGTTTTCTGACGAAAGTACAAAACCCTTGGAATTATAAACTTATCAACTAGTGTAGATTTGAATTTCTTTATTAATAAAGAAAAGAGGAAAGAGGTATATGCAGCTCTGCTACAATAAGAACTCATATCTATTGTTAACCAGAAATAGTAATTATTAATTAAGAAAATAAAGAACGCGTACAACCACTATTCTAAGAGGGCAAGAGAGAGAGCCTGATTCCATGTATTAGTTATTACAGTCTTTGCTTTCAGTAACCGAGTGACTACATTGCGTCTTAGGTCCAGGGAAAAGCGAGACTGAGCCGGCAGGTAACCGCACCATATTGCGACACTAACTATATTGCGACTGTGATCACTTTGCGACAACTTGATAATAACCAACTTACTATATTGCGACAAGTTTCATTTTATTAAATGGCATAATATGTATATTTAAAGGTGGTATTACAGCTTACACGGATAAATAATGAATCTGTGTCGCAATATAGTTTTGTCGCAATATAGGGCGTTTTGAGAATTATTAAGGTTATTCTGGTCACATGTCGCAAAATAGTTCATTTCGTGATCTAGTTATCATGGTGCGGTAATCTACCGGTAAAATCTTCCTGTTCAATTCTTAATTTAAGTTAAGTCATCCTCGAATTAACCTGAAATTTGGAGAAGGGCTCTTCACAACTATAATATAAATCAAGAGGCTTGCATATAATGAACATATTGACACGGGTGCAGAGTTGAGTCTGTACGGAACCTAGTAGTTTCAGATCCTTGTTTAACTTGCCGTACAGCAAGGTCATCCACTACCTTAGCCCGGCGAGGCACATAACTCCCTCTACAACTCCATGACAAATGTTTCATATATACTAGCCGAGTTCACAAGTTATATCCTTGTGTTTGAGAAGAGCTCGTTAGAACTGCTTCCTTTCCCTTCAGTATCCCACATATGAGAGGATCATGCCTTTGCCGTTTATTGAAATTTTCCCAATAATTAGCGTACAGGGTAAAAGTAACATCTTAAAACGCCTTACCACGATACAAATTTAGCGCCACTTTAGGTCGCATTTTTTCCCTTGGCTGAACTTTAATATAATTTTCTAATTTCAGATCAACATTTCAGAGGTATAGACACGATCAGTCAACGTTCTCGTTTCGAACCCCCTCATATATTTGTTAACCGTGGCTCGGACGATCCTGTGGACAGATTTGTTTTCAAAACCGATCTCGTTTGAGTGGTGTGGGTACGGAGTAAACTCTCAGGAATTTGTAGCATTCCGGAGATATTTTGAATTTTGGTTGTGAAATATCTTGATGTGCTTTATAGGCTTTCAATTAATCTAATATTCCTTACCATGTTTTACGTATCGTAGAATTCTGTAAGTTATTCTACTGTAACATCTTTACCAACTCCCCTATCTTTACAAGTTACCAAACCTCCATCGAGCCGTGACCCACACCAGCGGAGACAAATTAGCACAGTTTTCTGCTAACTCGGTTTTATTTATTTTTTAACGTAACTTATTGAACTTTTGCCTGAACCTAACTTATTGTAATATCACAAATTATATGTTAGTGATTTTGTAACTTATCGGATATTATATGTTGAAGTTTTATATTATTTTCACAGAAACCTTCGTCATTTTTATTCTGGTCTTTGGTCATATTGTGTCACGATTAGTGAAATCACCCAAAGTATCAAAGTATGCTTGATTGTCGGACTTATCTTATATATGTATACAGTATTGAATATAGAAAAACTTCATTCAACTTGTGAATTCAAATTTTAGCTCCATTATTTCGTTGTAAAATAGTAAACAGCATTACAAATCTAGGATGAGAATAACAGTTGAAATGTAGAGCATCCGTAGTAACAACTCCTATCCTCACCCGATTCCTGATTCAACACACTCAACATCGTTTCAACATCTATACGCTACATATTATAAAGGGATCTATCAACAGTTGAACAGAAGTTGCGTGGTCTGCATGTTGGACGATCAGATGAGAATTTCTATACCGAGATGTAAGAATAATCTATATAAATATATTTTTTAAACATTATGATTTCTTCAAAATTAAAATTAAAATAAACTTGCAATAATTTATTTTGAATTTAACTTAAAATCAAACTTAAATATGCCGTGATAAACGACTTAACCGTATGATATCTACCAAATAACATCTATATTCCACTCACAATATATTGGCTTGCTCAACAGGTGGCTTGCTGAAGTACATAGTCTGGTTTGCAACTCTTGCGTGCACAGTAACCGGTGTCTTATGTCTACTCTACCTACACATTACTGCTAACGTTAATCGACCTCCCGTAAGTCAAATGTTTTAAGGGTCTGCCCACACTACGCCTCTATTCCCCGAAGGTCTGCCCACACTACGCCATGTGGTGACGGGCCACATGGCGTGGGTCAAAAAAACCGGATTCATTTTGTTACGTTTATTTAAAATCTACATGGTTAAATAAACTAGTCTATTCGTAATTGACGCTGTTCACTTCAAAGGGTTTGCTTTTTAAAAACATTTATACCCAGATTGAGTTGAAGCCCCAGGACTTCCAGTATGGAGTTATGTTAGACGCTGGTAGCTCAGGAACAAGGTAATTTAATTATTTTGATATTTAACAACTGTTGTTCAGAGCCGGTTAATGTTACTTTTCATCCCAGCGCAGCAAGTGTGGGCTATTCCTTGCTTCCTTGCAAAACTATAAATATCTCTACTGTACCCAAGTAGTATGTTCCTTCTTTAAACATGACAAACATGACAAATATGCTAAATGATAACTATGACAAGCAAAGAATAATACCAGAGATCAAATAACCAAGTTATTTTATATTTTTATCCTGAATATTTCAGGGTATATTTGTACAAGTGGCCTCCGGGACACACCAACGGCCTGCTCCGAATAGAACAGATGAAAGATAAAGCGGGGAAGATTCTTGCTATGGTAACAAGCCCTGGTCTGTCTGCTTATGCGGTATGTATATTTAATATTTAGTTGATCTAATTGATCTAATTGATCTAATTGATCTGATTGATCTAATTATGTAAATGGATTTGAGTAAATCACCAAAACCCACCCTCCACTAGGACAACCCTCTATCCGCCTACAAGTCTATAAAATCACTCCTTCTCTACGCCTCACTCAATATACCTAATGGGAAACACAAGGAAACCCCTCTTTACATTCTCTGCACTGCTGGTAACTAATTGGTTAACTAATTGAATTTGGTGTTATTTTCATTGTTCTGGAGTTGTGGAATTATGTGATGTTGTTTAATTGTTTAATTCCTAATTACTGATTTATAGGGATTGTAATTGACCGTGGTATTGTAACTTCGGCCTGAATTTTAGCAGATTCTTAATTCTATAGTTTTAAGTTTACAAATCCGCAGAACTAGATACACGTATTTTACTACATCGTGGCATTATGAATCAATACTGATTATGTATACGTCACAAGGTATGCGATTGTTACCAGAAGAAAAAAGAAACAACATTATGAACATTGTAGCGTCCAACATACGTCAACAGTTTGATTTCTTCTTCAAGCCATCTCACATTGAGGTATGTGATCAACCAATTACACAACTGGAGACTTCATTCAAGTTATATTGTTACTAACATTGCCCCAATATTCGGGAACATTTTCACAATAAAATCGTTCGGTCAGGCACGCGCGATGTCCTTCTTCGAATGTTTTCAGAATCAGTCACGCGCCGCGGCGGGGATCGGATACTCAAATTAAATCAATTCATAGAATTAAATTCATAGAATTAAATTCATAGAATTAAATTGCGAATCGTACGTATAAAGGTATAATAGTTGCAGATCATAGCAACCAAATAATTAGTTAACCATAAATTAGTTAACCATAAATCGAGGCAAAATTTTGACTTATAATTGTTACCTACCTATTGTTATATATATTAATAAATTTAATATGTTGACTATGACTTCGGTTAATTTTCTGTTGCGTTACCACTATTAACCAACTGCAGTTGTGTAAGTAGTATTTAGCAGTTCATTATTTTTAATCGTCTCATATGTATGGGCAACACAACATTTGGGAATTTTCACTCTAGTAACTTCAAAAAAAGTATAATAACTTGTTAAAAACACATACAAATTTGGGTTGACAAAATTTGTGTGCAACTAATTTGAGTGCGAAATATTTGGGAGAAAGAGCCCCTCAAATTTTTCTTCGCACAAATTCTTGGTTACTAAAGTAGCTCTATAACTTTTCTTTGTTCGTGAGTTAATTTGTCATGATGATTGATGAATAGACAGAATTTGCATTGCATTAGGTAGCATCTTGAATAGAAGTTAGAACATAGATGATATTGAATCAGTCGATATTCAAATGTCTTGTGAATCTTACTATCGGAATAGTATGGTCATTATACATTATACATTATACATTATACATTACACATTACACATCATTATATTCAGCGTTTGTTTATCTCTACTCCCCACCATCTTTACTGTATTTTTTCCCCTACTTTCTAAAAAATGTGTAGTCATTTAGTCGATATACTATTCTGTCATCAGATAAATTTCAAAAGTATACTAATTTAACGTCGTTTGTCAACGTTTAGATTTAGGCGAAATTACAAGATGTTCACCCTTTTCTCAATCAGTGGCGAACTATTTTGTTAGCCTTACAAAACTACTTCCAGGTTATAGACGGTCGTATGGAGGGAGTGTATGGTTGGATAGCTGTGAACTACATGTTAGGACGGTTTGATCACGACTTTGTGGAGCACCAGCGCCAACCAACTGTGGGGGCACTTGATATGGGAGGCGCTAGTACTCAGATTACTTACGAGGTATTTACTGACGGTCAGTCTATTCTAATCTGATATCTGAATCTTCACAGGAAAATTGATATTATTAGATAAATGTGTATATACGGGATAATTTAAAAAGCGCCCAAGTCTAATTCCCCCTGAAAACCCGATAAATGTTATCCGTATGGACCTGTTGGCTGCATGGGTTAATTGACCAGTCTTTGACAACTATTTTAATCTATCTTATCAGGTACCAAAGAGTGAGGAACTTCCTTCAGAACTCTCAATGGATATAGATCTAGGCTGTCACGCTCACCCCGGCCCCAAGAGCCACACATACCGCTTATACGCTACCACATTCCTGGGATTCGGAGCTAACGAAGCTAGGAAACGATACGTGGACATGTTGCTGGACCAGAACCAGGTTTGTACATTAATTGTACATTAATTGTACATTATTGTACACTGATTAAATACATTATTGTGCATTAATTGTACATTATTGTACATTAATTGGTGTTATCATGAGACAATATTCTAGTGTTTTCTAGTGAGACCGGAATTTGAAAGTTTTTGAGTTCTTGAGTTTGAAGCTTATCAATTGCAAATGTAGCGAAACATCTATTTATTGATGTTTTCAGGTGAATCCAGATCACGGACTCCACTACGTATCAGATCCCTGTTTACCCAAAGGTATGAGGGATTATTATATCTACTTTGAAATAGACTCGTAGGACTAACCCCCCTACAGCTATTATAGTGCCTCGGCACACAGTGGCTTAGGGTTACTGAAAAGGAGATAAGCACCTCAGGCCATCCCAACTTGTGGGAGAGACCTGCTCTTGTATCTTGTTGCGTTGTATCTTTGAAATGAGTAATCGAGCTTAACGATCAACAATGAGATTTAACTAACTCACCAAATAGTTTTGGGGTATGTTCTAACTTGATCACAACTAAATGACCGACCGTCAGGAATGTTGGAAACACAAAGTAACCACCTGTTCCACCACGTGACCTTTAAGGGTGAGGGTAACTTTACCAAGTGTAGGGAGAAACTGAACCCACTCCTCAACAAGCCCAACAGTTGTCCTAGATCTCCCTGTAGTATGAACGGTGTGTTTCAACCTCCTATCAACTTCTACGATCAGGTTGGGTTTTATTTCAACTTATCAACTTTTACAATTAGGTTTTGGCTTTCTTTTAACCTATCGGTTTATTAACCAGTCTTCTACATTAATTAATTGTAATCAGACTTAAGTTTACTGAATTTAAGCCTACTATCAATTGTGAACACACTCATTTAAGAGTTTTAATTATCTTGTCCTTGAAACATTTTAAAAAGTAGAAAGAAAAAAAACCTCCACCCACGTTATCTACAGGAAATGTACGGGTTCTCTGAGTACTGGTACACACTAGACGATATATTGCACGTGGGCGGTGTCTACAAGGAGGAGAAGTTCATGAGAGCAGCTAAAGAGTTCTGTGCTACAGATTGGCAGATTCTGAGTGATCGGTTCAAGTCAGGAGAGTTCCCTGCTGCTGATCAACATAGGTCAGATGATCATTTAAAAGTTATGAAGTTCCATGTTATATGGTGAGGTTATGTTGAGAATTTGGAGTGGTGCGCGAAGAAAGTGACGCGGCAAGAGTTAGAGGGTCATTCCCAGCTTGTTCAGAACCTGTTCGTGTGACATCACCAAAATACTAATAATTGTTATCTAGACATTATTCCAGATTCCAGTATCAGTGCTTTAAGAGCGCCTGGGTTTTAGCTATCCTTCACGACGGGCACCACTTCCCATCCAATTATGAGAAATTCATCTCAGCTAAAACGGTATGTGGTTTCTACAATTCTACTATTCACAATTTACTATTTTAAATATATCTAACGATGATTTAAGCTGCTTTTAGGTCCTGCTTTTTGGTCTCAGACAACAGAGTTATTCCGCCGCTTTCAATTTAGTCGTTTGTTTTCAGGTGATTTGATGCGGCGGCCATTTATTAACTCGTTTAAGATAATATATATCGTCGAACGAATATTTACTAAAGACTGTGGTAACCCATAGAATATAAATAAAACGATAATTTTGGGCTATGTTTAAACAATTTTTACACACAAAAAGTTTTACTAGCAGAAATAAATGAAACTCCAAGTTTCGTTGAAAGCTAGGACATTGGAAATGTTTTGTCTAAAGTTGAAAAAGAAATAATATAAAAGACAATTCTTGTTTTATGAAACAGCCACCGTAAAGAAAGTTTAATAAATGACAATTAGTAAGTTCTTCTAACACATATCGAATATCTAAAACAAAATCTAAAACACACATCTCTTTTTTTTGCTTAAGAGAAGAGACAATCTGGGATAAAAGTTATATTTCAATTCGTATCCAATATTTTTTCAATATTTAAAAAACTTTTCATTCATTTACCCGGAAAACTGCATATCACTAACATCCAACTCCTAAAAAGCTAAAACTACAAAATTAAGTAGGGAGCTGCAATCTAAAAAAATTAATAATAATAGTTCTAATTGCTAAATTATGACAGGATTCCTAAGAATCCTGTTTGCGAACAGAAGGGCCACACTCCCTGGCTAGCTCTGCTACAGCTCCTTTTTTCTTAGATGGTGATGTGGGGACATCTCTGAGGAGCTTCTTCACTGCTTTCCTAAGTGCTGGTTTGCTTTTGAAGCCAGTCTTCCTTTTCATTGAACTCCTGGGAGAAAGACACGCTAGAGCTGATGCCGCATTTTCTGGTGTGTGACATACTATTTGAATCTTCTCCTGCTTCTTTAACTGCCTCCACTCCTTCATATATTGTCTATGTTTCAGTCTTTTATTATCCTTTTCTTCGTCCGTCATTTCTGCATACCTCCTCTTGTTCAAATCGTTAACACGCTGATTTTCCCTTTTCCTGTACACCGGGTCCTGCTCCGTCCTCTTCTTTCTGTACCTCTTTTGTTTATCATATAACCCCATTCAGACCTGATCCTAAAACAGAAACAACTTTAAGCACAAAAAGACTATATTCACTTAATACTTTGACCAATTAGTAGTCGATTAAACCTAGAATAAGTAAACTACATTATACTTAATTAGTCTGTTATTATAGGAACTAAGTTGGGACCAAACAATCGTTACTTTAAAGCAAGAACAGACTAAATGCATTATATTATATAGTTCAATCTATACAATAATTGCTCGATAATTGGTCCAATTAGTTAAATACATTAGATGTAAAATGGCAATAGGGTGTAATCTACACCATTACCAGTATCTAATTGGACCAGTTAGTAGGCAATTTAATTTAAAATCAGTAATAGTCAGTCTACTTCACCATGTTACAATAGCAGCAACCAAATCAAGAACAAGCAAACATCAATATAATACAACGCACAAACAGAGCAACTGGGCAGAGTATGAGTTACACTACCTCCAAATGTGAATTACGTTTACTTCCTATATTGTCCCTGTACTACACACATTCCACAAATTTATGTTAGGAAGGACATAGGAAGTTGAAAAAATGTGTACTTTATTGTGATCAAGCCTTATTGTAACTTCTGCTATTACACTGGGGCACGAATTGCAATTTTAAGGCAAGATTTCTAAAACACCAAATTCTGCCTGTGAATTACGCCTACTTTTTAAAATGCTGCTCACATAAAAAGTACAAGAGATAGACATTAAACTTTTGTTGCCACATCATCACAAACGTTTAAACTTCATTCTGACTTTATATTTTGTGCAAAGTGTGCATTACACTACGTGGAATTGCCCATATAATATCTGTGGCCTGCTAACTTTTGTATAAAACACAATTTAACAGGGTTCCTGCAGTGTTCCACGGGACAATTGCAGAACAGCAAGCTTTTATTTTTACACGCTAGGTTTAGAGGTTTTGTCTTTTGGGAGGAGGGACAATATAATTTTACAACATAACATGTTTTAGAGTTATATTTAAAAGTTATAATATTGGAAACTCTTCTTCAATTGTTCTCAGCTCAACTAATAAAACAATCATTTATTTTTACGACACAATCGAACAATATCATTGGTAAATAATCAGTGGAGGTTAGAAGTGGTTTCAAACGCTAAAGGTCACTGCTTATCGTTGGATTTGAGAGCGACCTGTGCTTGAAACCAGCTCAACCATCCACTACTATACGTCAACTAGCCCCAGCCATTCTGCCCATCTAATTCTAAAACCTTCTATGAGGATAATGAATAATCTTAGGTTCATACATCTTGAATTGTATACATTACGTAATTAGACACCTAGTAAGTTAATTGTCGTGTTTGTTAAAAACAATCGTGTAAGGCAACGTTACATACTACACTATTGAATAATCCAACCTAAAAGAACTTGATGGCGGCGAATTTGGCGCATTGTTCATGTTCAATTGCAGTTTTTTGTCTCAAAATTTGCCGCACATAAAATTTTTCTGGGCAGGTACGGAATCGCACTATTTACAAAATATGACCGCACCTACATGTTGCCTCTGGTCGCGTGGTATAGTTGGTGAATTACTAAAAACCAAATTGAGTATTTCGTGTTTGATACCCGCCAGTGTAAAATGTTTTCATTGCTTTGGCAATTACGAATTACTGTGTTTACCGCAATGATGAGTTCAGATCTGCGTAAGTCTTAAGTAAGTACGTTTACTTACTTCATGAACCAATAACCCATTACTGTACATGATTATACCCACAATGCCAATGCTACATTTGAACGGTAAAATAAAAATCCCGGCTTGGTCCCTGGCAAAATTTCCAAATTTTAGCCGGGTCTCCAAATATAAGCTGATTTTGAATGTAGGAGTTAATGTAAGAATGTGCGGTCTATGGAAGTCTGTTATAGTGTTGTTCTCAAAGATGAAATTTGTTAGAATTCTTCAAATAATTCTCTTTCCATTAACTGGTGTGGGGAACTAATCGAGCACATCTATTTAAATTCCTCAAGTCTCATATGATCTGCAATAAGGGGCAGTAAAAACAATAGCAGTCGTCAATAAATCTACAAATTGTTAATGTTCGTTCATGTTCAACAGAGTAGAGATTCAGCTTCTCAAACAAAGGGGGACAACAATGCTATTCCATTTGAAGCTTTGTCAGCAAGTGCTGCTGACTTAACTATTCTAGGGAGGTGACCTCGCTAATTTCCATTTTTACCGTCAGTGAGACAAGGATGAATTCATGTTTAGTCCGCGACTGGAATTGGAAGAAATCACAGCGGAGAGGATGACAATTTCATAGTGCTGTTTTATAGGGCTGATCAGGCGGCTGCAACTCTGCTTTGCTTAACTACTCGAGTGGGGATCTCAATTGTTAGGAGCGACATGCAATCCTGTGCATCCTGTCCGAACCCTGTATATTAATCCTATGCAATCCTGTATTAATCCTGTGTTAATCCTGTTCAATCCTGTGCAGTGTGCAATCCTGTGTAATCCCATCTTCAATTAATCGAAATAAGTCTCATGATCTGATCACTGGGCTTTTTAAAAAGAACTTCAAAAATCATACAAGTTACAACGATAAACGAATAAAATTTCAGTTTTTCTGTTCAATATTTTACAGCATCGGACAGCTCAAAATTCTATTAAAATAAGCACAAATGAAAATTTTAGGATGATTTTCTGAAGAACCCTGTTTGGCAATCTAAAAAAAAAATAATAATAGTTCTAATTGCTAAATTATGACAGGATTCCTAAGAATCCTGTTTGCGAACAGAACACTGGCTGACTGCTTGCTTCTCCGAGTAGTTTTGATTACTACATAACTCTGGAATATCCTGTGGATTGTCTTCCGTTGAGTGGCTGAGAGTTCCTCCAGTTGCGCGACATAGGATGAAGGTTTCCGTTTCCTAGGGAGATGAATGGTAACAGTGATAAGGAAAGATATTGGGGTTCATTGCCATTCGCTGTTATATACTCAATATTTGCGCTACCCAAATAAATTCGCCATTGTTGCTATAATTCGGTATCATGGGAGCAATATGGCAAAAATGGCGACAATATTTTACAACTAGATAATATTTGTTCATAGTTAACAGAAGTTATATGGTTAATAAAGAGTCTTAATTAACGAGTTGAGGCTCTTACCAAGTGGCGTTGTTCTGAGCCTGTTCAACTGATTTTGGGAGATAGTAAGCGGTTTATTTACAATGACCCAGTGAACTATCTCGCTGCAGGGAGGCGTCGTCAGTCCACCCATATATGTCACCCATTTTACTGCGAAGGGGGATTTTAGTTAAATCAAAAAATACTCATTTATAGTCTTGTATCGTGTGGCAATACAAGTGCACTTTAGTAACTTGTTGTTTATTTTACAAAAGGTTAAAATAGATGTAAATTAATTAAAATAAATACTGGACTGAACGAACTTGCGTTAGACGGGTAGAGAGCGCTCAGATCAAACTGTGCAATGTCCCTAGCAGCACCCGCCGTAGCTTCACCTTGTAACATCTGTTCTACCTGGTTATTCGCGTCCCCTAACTTAAACACCCTGTGAGAACAAAAGGCGGATTGAGTTGTTGAATAGTGTTTTTAATCGATTTAATCGATGTCTAGTTTTTAATCGATTTTACGTTTGCCGGTTTGCCTTTTTTTGGGAATTTTGTCTTCCAAATGTCTAGAATTTTCCTGAAATGATGAAAGTAAAATAACACTTACCGAGCGAAGACCATGTACTTTGTACTCCCATCAGAATCAGTGTAGCTGGTTACAAGATGTGCCTCCGCAGCGAAAGCTTTTCCTCCGATTATGTGTTCAGATCCTCGAGCTCCTGGTTCTCCCCAATGAATATGGAGCTGCACGAGTGTTGCCATTCTGTTATTCATCCAAGGTACTTTCGCGTAACTTCCGGTTGGGTTCACGGAGTATTTCATCGTGTTTGCGTTGTTCATGTTAGTCTGAAAATTGAGTGACTAGGTAGATTGGAAATTGGAATGTCATTATGTAAAGTACATGACAAAAAATGGGAACATTCGATTTTAATTATCGACAGTCATAGTTTAGTCAGTTCAAACCCTGACATCATAGCATGTAATTATTATCCAACTGCTTAATTTAACGGTATTAAAAATTTTACCATCTTAACGATGTTCTGCGGTAAACTCAGAAAAGGTGTTGTTGAATCCACAGAAACATTTGAGGAAGGATCTGGGACATTAATGGGAGATTGTGCAGCTCCTGTGGTACAAACTCCGCCCCTGATAGAGAACATATCTGTTAGTTTTTCACTCTTCACGATGGTCCCATGATCTCAAGAAGGTGATAGATGTAATACTCTATCTGTTGACCTGTTATTATACCGACCCGCAAATCTGGCATCAGCAATTTCCGGTGATGAGGAGGGTTTTTTACTGCCTAATTCCCGGGATCGGCCAGAAATACCGAAATTCCTGGCGACTGGGAGAAGTTCCAGTCTCGGGCCAAAATCTAGCTCTAGTAGTAACTGCATATAAGCAACTCTCACCAGATTATGATAACAATTCAATCATGATTAGTTCGTTCTAGTTAAACAACCAAATGAAGCAATGTCGCCAGTACAGGACGACGTAATCTGTATTGTGTTCTTACCAGTGATTTTGGCTGCTGTAGTCCAGCTGTGTTCCACTGTTAGATGCAGAAATAACTTCCATCAAGGTTAAAAACAGAATCATTGTTCTGAGAGTATAGACTATAGAAACATATTATGACGAAAATGGGAAACATCCAATAATCTTTCCACGTTCAATAACGCGTTAAACTTAACATGTCGTTACTATGCGTCTATGCAACTTCATAATTTCACCTAATTTTCACGTGCGGTCAAAGAAGCACGAATATATCTCTGAATTATCAAAAGTTAATAAAATTATCAAAAGTTAACAAAAGTTGCACCATCGGCTGCTTTCTACTCGAGACCGAAAGAACATTTCTAAGACAAATGATATAAACTTCGGTCCTGGACGAGGAAAATTATTAACGTCAGTTGTCAGCTATCGTAACTGTAATTGGAGTTACCGATTGACCCTCTGTGAGGCAAGTAAAGGGCATCGACTGTCTGTTTATTATATTTCATTCAGATAACGTATGGAGCATCAATTGTTTGTCATAATGAGAGGCAGTAAAACTCCAGGGCTGTGATGAATAATGACAATGGTCATCCCGTGGTAACATTAAAATATATCGACTCAGTTACATCGCGATCGCTTCCTCGAACTATTTGTTATATTTGTTATATTTATTTCGAACTATTTGTTATTATTATATATTTGTAGTAGTGTTGAAAGTATTGAAACTCGTATGCATTTTTAATGAAAGCTAACAATAACATGTTCAATGTTTAGGACCGAGGAGTAAATGGCAAGTTTTCTATTCTTTTTAAATCAATGTCACTAAAACCTGGACAAAATAATCTCAACTTTGTATCAGTTAAGACCGAGAGACAATGGCAGGTATTGTATTTATTTGTAAGACATATAATCTAGATATTTCCTTCCGGTCATGGTCTCGTTCAGAAGCAATATACATTATACAAGTGTGATGGGATCGCACTATTGACCTATCACTATTCACCGCGCTTTTTTGCACCATCGGCCGTTATTCGTTCTATCTGATTTGTGTACTTCAACTTGGTATTGCTGTGTACAATGATCAACTTGCCCATCACTATGGTTAGGGTTAAACGTTTTTCATGATGTAACATTCAAAACATAGGAAAGTAAAATTGGTTTTAAAATCAGAAAATACGTACATATCAGGGTATCTATGGGCCTTACTTTTTTGAAGATGGCGACTGTGGGAAAACAGAAACTATCAAAACGGCTAATTATATTGAAATGCTGAAGAAGAAGTTTTTGCCAGCACTAAAAAGGAAGAAAACCTTCAAAAATTGTTGGTTTAGGCTAGATGGGGCGCCACCCCATTGTAGCAAGGAAAGTATGGAGTGGTTGAGTACTCAATTTCAGGATAGAATCATTTCTCGGAATGCTGCATTTCTGTGGCCACCATACTCGCATGATCCCTACCCTTGTAATTTCTACCTCTGGGGGTACCCTAAGACTTACACGTAACCTCTAATTATATACTTGTGGAGCATTCAAAACAAAGGGTAGAGAATCAAGATTATACAATCTTGTGTAAATAATTACACAGATTCTCAGTTAAAGATATGAGTTATGGCTATGCATATCGCAACATAAAACTTGAATGATTTATTATAAGATTATAGTACTTAAAATCATTCAGCCATGAATTACAATTGCTCATGCAACAATTTCCACGCTAAAGCTCCAGCGAAAATAATTATCAGGTTTATAATCAGAATCAGATAGCTTAACTACAGTTACCCATAGCTACAGTAACATAAACCCGCCACGCAAAGGGTTTATATAACAGATCATCCCGCGCTAGCGGGATGATCTGATAAACACATACGAGTGCGCGCAGTGCACGAGTTTTGTGTTAATATGTAATCCCGAAGCGCCAGCTGAGGGATTACATTTATTTAGCCCTGGGCGTGAAGTGTTTATGGATTATAATTATCTCCGGCGATTTCGACAAGGGATTTATACTTTAGAAGAGAGTGATAAAGACAGAATACATAGTCTTCATATTCAAGTCAAATCCAACAGAAACAAGAAAGCACTCTAAAATGTAGTTGAGTCGTTGAACAGGAATTTGGTCAAAGTCATTGAAGTCACGAGCAAATCTGGATGACTGAAGCCAAGAATTAAATTTGTTTAGAGCCCAGTTGTTGACTCTAACTGTACTGTCCGGAACACGATTGGAAAGCAGTTCATCAATCTGAATGTCAAACCGATCTGTCATAGTGGAGCAATAGCTTGAACGTTAGCAGGAACAAGAGCTGGAAGGAGAGCAAGCAAAACAATACTATTTTTAGGGCACGGACAAGGGTAGCTGGCTAGTCGCCAACTTCTCACGCCACGCGTTGGAGAAATTCCAAGAATTAGCTGCTTTGGCAACGTTCCCAGGAATTTGCGTGTAAAAGAAGTGGACGGTTACGATGTTTCATATCACGTGGTGCGCTTTCGTGTCACGTGGTATAGACTCGGCGTTTGCTATTGGTGGCACGTGGTACGCACGTGACGCGCCCACGTGATCGCGCGTCTAACTGTTCTACTATTATCGAGTTCTAATCAGCAGTATCATTGATTATTGTAAGTCGGAGAATTGAATGATAAACATCAGTTACGACTAAAAAGCGGGCCGGGTTTATACAAATTTCCGGGGCGGGATGATATCACCTTGAGATGTTTATCTAACAGCGGGCCGGGCTGAGTGATAATATGATCCCGCGTCGAAATCCCGGAGATATTTATAGCTGCTGAATAATTCTACCCTTCACAATAACTCTTAACCCCAAACCTAAAACTCTATAACAATGAAAAATGTCGCTCTGCCGAGTAAATTATATGACTACCTACGGTCTAAGTTCTTTTTAACAAAGAAATAACAAATTTGTTTGAAAGGCTCCGTTTTAATATATTTACCCATATAATTGTAAACTTAGGCTAAAATATGATAATCCTCGTGACCCAGAACCTACAGTTTAAACTTTTAAACAAAGGTTATATCCGTGGTAAACTAAATGTGTATATTTAAATTTTATCCTTATTGTGAACCAACATTTTGAGACCTTCTAAACTAAACATTCGATAAAATTTTACAGGGTATATAAGCAAACGTTTTGTCCCTGCATATTAACTAAATCAATATATAAATGTGATTCTGGTGGGGAGGTGAAGTAAAAGGAGGAATCAAAGCTAGTGCCATAACTGAAATTTATTTTTTTCCCTCCTTGTTCATGTTTCATGAAATTGCCCATATATAAATGTGATTCTGGTGGGGAGGTGAAGCATATTTTCTTAAGAGTAAGGTTTACACTAATCCCACTCCCAAAACAACAGAGGAGCTTAAAAAACATCAGAAGGGAAGCGAGAAAGATACAACTTAACACAGTCAAGTCTTAAAGTTAAAGGCTGCAAATTTGGCCAATTGTTCAGCTTAATTGCAGTGTTTTTTGTCTCCAAATTTGCCACACATAAATTAAAATTGTTTTGGGCTGGTGCGGAATCGCACTATTTACAAAACATATAGGCCGATTTTGACCGAGACCGGGAGTAAGCCGTGATTCCGGTCGAGACTTGCATAACGAAACGATGTAACATAGTCAATATATTTAAATTTTGCCATTGGGTGGCAAGTTCCCATACATCGTAGTCCGATAGTTTCGCTGCGTCATAACTCATAATATATGTACATTTGTGTAATACTGCTGTCCCTTAGTAATAGTTGATCAAGTCTCCTTATTGCTTATATGAGAATACAAACGGCAAAACCTTCAAATTTTCGCAGCTCATATAAAAATTTGCCTTGGATGTTTTTTGAGAAAATGATGTCTGACTCTGCATTCGTCCCATATATAAAATATACAACATCGGAAACATTATCAAAAAGACCAACTGGCACTGTAGGGATTGATCTTAAAGAATGTATAGTACTTAAGCAGGGGTTAATGGAAGAATGTGCAGTTTATGGAAGTCTGTTATAGTGTTGTTCTCAAAGATGACAATTGACAATGACATCTGTTAGAATTCTTCAAATAATTCTCTGTTCTGGTGTGGGGAACTTATCGAGCACATCTATTTAATTCCTCAAGTCTCATATGATCTGAAATATGGGCCAGTAAAAACAATAGCAGTCGTCAATAAATCTACAAATTGTTAATGTTCGTTCATGTTCCACTCTACTCCAGCTTCTCAAACCTTCAAACAAAGGGGGACAATAAAGCTATTCCATTTGAAGCTTTGGGCAGTTTGGTGCGTGCCTGGGGATCTAAATTGTAAGGAACGACATGTAATCCTGTGCAATCCTGTCGAAATCCTGTGTAAATCCTGTGTAATCCTGTGCAATCCCATCTTCAATTAATCGGATTAAGTCTCCTGATCTGATCTCTGGGGAGACCGATAAGATGGGCTCTCAAAAAATACTTTTCAACGATAAACGAATAAAAATTCAGATTTTCTGTATTTTAATTTAGAGGTTCAATATTTTACAACATCGGACAGCTCAAAATTGTATCAAAATAAGCACAAATGAAAATTTTCAAGTTCTTTTAAATCTTAGAATCCAAGCTTAGATGGAGAACCGTTAATTTAAATTGTTCTAAAAATGCCTTTTATCAGAATCCAAAGTAATTTTCCTAACATTGTTTGTAATGGGGTACCCCTGAAACAGGAGGAGCTTAAAACTTAAAACTACTCTACATCCACTAATTATTGTCATCAAAATAACAAGAAACTATCCTAAAAGTAAAACAGCAGCGGCTGCTGGACAATATTTGTTAAAAAAGTTTTATAATCCATCCTAAAAAATATAACATTTATCTATGAAGTTCCATCCAAAATGATCTTTGCAAGCTGAATCCAACTACCCTCTGTGGTATTTGGTAGATTCTCGTCCGTTGAGTGGCTGGATTTCTCTCCAGTTACGTGTCATAGCAGGCATGTCTCCGTGTCCTAGGTGGATAAATGGTAAAGGTAATATTCAGTTTTGTTGAATTAAAACCTATGTTGGGCTTGGCTGGTATGTGTAAGGTTTAGTTTAATCGCTAGTTAGATAATATCTGAAACATCAATGATGATTTTTCATAACAAGACGTATAGTATCTAAAACTCTCACCAAGTGACATCTTCCTCAGCTGCTTCAGCTGACGTTTGGATATAGTCAGGGGTTTCCTTACAATGACCCAGTGAACTACCTCGCTGCATGGAGGTGTTGTCAGTCCACCCATGTATGTCTTCCAGATGTCTGTAAAGGGAATCTAATGTTAATTGATAATAATTTTAATACTTTCAACACTACTATATAACAAATAATTTGAGGCTCTAGCGATGTAATAAACGAAGTTTCCAAGCCAAATTTGTGTGTTTCCCTTCGTGTCCAAAATCAATAATTGATATCCATATTCTTTGATCTAGTTGTGCGGATGAAATGAGTAAACTTGAGTATCTTAGCTTTATAAGGCATGCCCGACGCCCGTGCAACTCAGTTGCCAGTTTTTAGGTGGCTTAAAGTGGCTTCTGACATTATGTTAAGCACGCACCAAACTGGTAACTGTAAGTTGTAAGTGTAACGTTTCTAAGCTGATTTTCCGAAATAAACAGTAGATTTGGATTCATATGTTTAAGAGACAAAAATCAGAACTGTATGAAGAAACGCACCTGAGTTTGCTGGGTAGAGAGCGCTCAGGTCGAAGGAGTCTATTTTCCTGTCCTCATTCTCCTTCTTAGCCCCCTCTATCATCAGTTCGACTAGTGCGTTTGCTTTTCCCGCCTTAAACACTCTATCAAAATAGAGTTGGTTTAAAAATGTGGATCCTAATTCGGTTCATATCACAATTAAAAATATTTTAAAGTTTAGAAGGGTCATGGTATCTAATATATCTGAACGACTGAAGTCACCAAACAACTGAAAAACCAATAAAACTTACCGAGCGAAGACCATGTACTTTGTACTCCCATCAGAATCAGTGTAGCTGGTTACAAGATGTGCCTCCGCAGCGAAAGCTTTTCCTCCTATCAAGTGTTCAGATCCTCGAGCAGCTGAGTCCCCCCAGTGAAGATGGAGCTGCATGAGGGTTACCTCTCGGTTTTCCATCCAAGGTACTTGGGCGACGGTTTGATCGGGATTTACGGAGTATTTTACTGTGTTCGCGTTGTTCAAATTCGTCTGGAAAGTTGAGAGTGATAATTGAGTTGTTTGTTTGATATTTGTTTGAAATATTTCGACTGTTTTTATTTCGTGAAGAATGTAAACCAGTTAGACCTTATTGAGTGATTGTAGATCACAGTGCTGGCAAGCATGATCGTGCTTCTTATATTCACTATACTATTTAGTATTTACCCCCTTTACTATTTACCCCTTTAATATTTACCTCCTTTACTATTTAACCCTTTAATATTTACCTCCTTTACTATGTACCCCATTTACTATTCACCCCCTATAATAGTAATAATATTTACCCCCTTTACTATTTACCCCTTTACTATTTACCCCCTTTACTTTTATACCGCTTTACTAGTATACCCCCTATATTCTATAATACTGTTATACCCCTTTATTGTTTTTCAGGCATTAAGACTCATTGAAAGTAGTTCAGCAGGCATATTTTAAGTTCAAAACATTCTAATTGAATGTCAAAGATGACAGGAATTAAAAATAGTTATGCGGAGATTTTTAAGAATTTTGCATAAAATACGCGCCAACAAAGTTATACAAAATTCGGTAAAAAACCCAAAATCACCATATTAAGGTGCCTCAAAAGTGTAAAAGATAAAGCCATTTCCGACCAGAGGTCTTAAACTTTAAAGATAATTGTTTACACAATAGTTTACATTATATGAAAAAAGATTTGACGTCATTATCACCTTTTGATGACGTCATCAATTTTAGCGTCTTTAGAACTTGATTTTTGACAAAGTCGATTTTACAGCATAGCCATAAAGGAGTTATTTTTATTCAAAATTTGAGGTCATATTGAAGTTAGATAATTGTTCAAGCATTCTGAAAATATACCGGAAAGTTTGCCTAGCTTGCTCGTGCTCCTTCATCAAGATATTTGTCATTGAAGTTAGTGCTTTTTTGAAGAATTATTTATAAAAACGTCAATTTTGCGATTTAGTATTCTCTGGTGTTGAACCATGCATTGAGTGTTGGAGCTCAGTTCTGCTTCCTATAGGTATAAATTGTGCATTAGGCTAGTTTTAAAGTTGAAAATCGAAAAGTTGCACACGTAAGGACACGCCCAAATTGATAGAAAATTGCTAAAATCACTGAAAATTGCTGTTTTCACCATTTTCTGACAACTTCGGAGTGCCTTTGAAAGTTTGCACGTGCGAAAGTTGAGAATTTTGCTCATTTGTGATTTTGAACAAATTCTGCTTTGCCACGACAGTTCCATGTCATTATATATGAATTTAATGCCAACTTGAATGAATATAATGTGGCATGTTCAGTCAGTGATCGACCGATATGCTTACCTATACACAAGGAAATGTTTTTAAAGGAAAAATTTAGAAATCGTTGAAACTACCCCCTTATTAATAAAGATATCAGTTTATATTTCGACATAATATTAAGTACTCTGACATTATAATCAAAAAGAGATGATATTTGACCAAAACCCATAATTATGGGTAGAGTGGACCGCTGCCAGTGCCTCTCTTTCTCAAACAAAAGGAAATGATATCAATTTGATCTCGACCGATTTCATTTTCGTATCATTTTGCATTTGCAGACGGTCAATCAAATAAATATCATTTCCTTTTGTTTGGCAAAGAGAGACACTGGCAGCGGTCCACTCTTCCCATGATTATGGGTTTTGGTCAAATTACTTACAAGTTTTATAACTGTACAACACCCAAATTACCATCTTAAAATTTTTCATTGGAAGCTGTAAGAAGGGTGTTTCTGCTGACACTTTTACTTTTGATGAAGGGAGAGGGACATCAATAGGAGATTGGTGTTCTCCGGTGATGCAAATATCGCCCCTGAAAACAACATTAATCAGATTTACCGTCATTTCATAATTTTCGGTGACCAGAAGAGGCTATGATATAAACCTACTAGTGATTGGTTAAAAAATATTTTCGCGCTTAGGATTTGATCATTGAGTCATTTGGTGTAGTCATTTGGTAGTCATTTGGTAGTCATTTGGTAGTCATTTGGTGTAGTTCCTGTCTACCCTAGCGGTCATGTCAATGTCCGTTCAAGTAAATTCTGATTCATACTTAAATAAAATACTGATCATGAATGCCTTCGAGCGTTCATTTTAATGTCCGTTCAAAATTATGTCCGTTCACGTAATATCCAGTCAAATAACGTCCGATAAGCCTAAGGTAGTTATAATAATATTATGTGAGAGTGTAAGCAAGTTAAATAAGGTAATGGTACTATAGTCAATATTCATATTATATTCTTACCAGTGATTTTGCTCATCGTAGTTAATCTGTTCGTGTCCTTCCGATGCCAAAGTAACTGCGAACAAGGCCAAAAACAGAATCATCCTTCCCATCATTCCCTAAAAAAGTTAAATGTTCAGATATAATCGACATTTATTTCAAAAATAGGGTCGTTACCTCATATCGGCCTCGTGCGACCAAATGTCGCGAAATCTTTTGATAATGTTTCGGCACTACAAAAGGTTTTCAATGTGAAAATATTAATCGTATGAGGAAAGCAAAGAAGGTCGCTCAGCAAGTCGACTGAATATTAGAAAAATACTGCATATCAATATATATTTCCGTTTTGAACCTCTCGAGCAACCTTATTATTAGTTTCTGTGAAATAAGGTTACTCTCGTACCATAAGTAGGTGGGAAGTCTTGAGTGAGGGACGCTAGCTTTGATAGATTGATTAGTCATTAGGGCAAAATGTTTGGGTTAATCAGCAACAAATTCGTGAAATAGTTTTAGCTATGTACGGAATCCAGAAATATACGTAGATACTAATTATTGTGGTATGGAAAGTAGTGGTACATATTTTGCATCTGGGCGGTGGGTCTTTGGGCGTGCGGTTGGATGATTACTCTGATAGACCTGTACTAGACACGTGCTAAAATTGTGATAAGCTATAGGGGTGAAATTGTTCTAAAATTTTATTCATCAAATGTTAAACATATGCGGCAGTCCAATATTTCATTGTTCCGCAAATTCTCTGCAAAGGATTTGTAATCTGATTAAAACTATGGAATTAAGGCTAGAGATTCCAGCTTTAACTGAAAATTTGCAGACCTCATACCTTCAAATCTTATCCAAACAAATGAGAATGTTTTTGTCCTTTACAGTTTACAGACCCGATCTCCTTTGCGGTAGTATAGTATGCTGATAGTCAGCGTCCACACCGTGGTTATTTTAAATAAAGACACATAACAAAAGAAGATGGACGTAGGTTCCTCATGGAATTTCTGTGCACATCACTCTAGTGGAAATGCCAGTCCCTGACATATTGTTTAAATGAAGAACAGCTAATTAGTATTAAAACACTGGCCACCGTTACTGTCATAATGTGGAAACAAGTTGAGCTCTGGTGAAAAAAAACTCCGTCAAAACACATGGTCCAATCATTATCGTTCATAATATATCACATAGCAGTTGTGTTGTGATTACGGCAATGAAATTAGTGCTGTTAAACATTACCGGCGAAGACAATATACATAATACATATCCTCATAACATGTATGGTGCAAAATGACAACAGTATTAATCGGAAAATGAAGTCTACGCTTATCTCGTCTGATATAGCAAATTTTTAAACTTTTCGAAGAAAATTTTGAAGGAAATAGAATGCAAAATTGTGAAAAAAAAGAGTTTTGAAACGATTTTGCAAGAAATAACTTAAATATAAGACCTAACGGCTAGCACGCATTTTTAAACGAATTGCATATAATTTGCTCCTTCATAAAATAGAAAAATTTTAATTTCAAATTTGGACGAGTCTTGGAACACCCTGTATAGATGGGAATAACGCGATAACTGCAAAAGGGCTGCAGAGATGACAAAACTATTAAGGTTGGTGTTGGACAATGATAATTGGGTAAAATAGGGGAGTGAAAATAAATCAGGACTTATGATATTGGGTAAAATAGGGGAGGGAAAATAAATCAGGACCAATGATAATTGGGTAAAATAGGGAGGGAAAATGAATCAGGAACAAAATTTCAGGAGACAATTCGTAAAAAAATGAAAGGTCGGAATTTTGATTGCATTGAAGAGGAAGTTAGACGAAGAGTGAGAGGGAAAATCCGATTACTAATCAGAAAACTAAATAAGAGATAAATAAATTCCATTAATCAGTACAATTTGGAAACTGTACTGAATAAGAGGAATTGTCAAGAAGGAGCGTACTAAATTTTAAAAATCTAATTGTGATAGAGAGATGAAACAAGCAAATCCAAAATCTCTAAAACCTATGAAACACGGGTAACTCAGCAGCCAGGGACTAACAATACAATAAGATACAATACAAGTAAGATTAGGAACAGGAACAGGTTTTTGTACCACGTTTTGTCGTGATTTAAAGATTTAAATCCCACATCATTAAAAATCAAGCAGCAACAGATGAGTTATAATATAATGTTATTATGTAGTAGGAGACCAGAAACCGTTGACCAGAACAGAGAGAGAGAGAGAGTTATTATGTAGCATAATTATGTTAATCTCCCCGAAGAATGGCTACTCGACTCATGAGAATATTAGCTGGAGCTACTCTCATTGTTTTATGTAACGAGTAGAACTCTTACCATGACTTGTTAACAGTGAACATCTTAGTTGTAGTGAACAGTGGATTTTGACGTATTGAACGCATGTTCCAGTCATTTTTTAGTGAACGGTTATTGAACGTTAGTGAACGTCAGTGATTATCAAAAACAAAAATTCATGAAAATAAACTTTTTGAAATATCAATTTCCCCAACTGATAATTATTCATGAACATCTATGAACATTTAATTGTCCTCATTCTCGTAAGTCAATTGTTAGTTAGCAGAATTGTAGACTTAGCGGAGAGATAAAAGACTAACGTATTACTATTAACTCGTACTCGGTTTTATAGATCTAGATTGCAGAGTACGCTTTATAAATATTTACCTCATACCACACTTTATATTGCCACAAAAGACTAGTAACCGAGTACCGTTCTAGAGATTTGGCTACTGAATCGAAAACAGTCGGATATCAATATGTTTTCCTGTTAGCTAGACCAGAACTGAGTGGCAAACAGGAGAATTAAAACTATACTGAAAGGTTCTGGAATTTCTAACCGCTCATGGTTGCTAGATGTCAGAAAATTGTTTTATCTGCCATTGGACCCTGTGATCCTATGATGAGGACCCGGCAATAGCCATTGGATCACAAGCAAAAACTATTTATCGAACTAAAGTACGCTACCTGGACTCTAGTTCGCCATCTTCGACACGTACCGGGCCGAAGTACGACAGGGGTGATATCTGGCGAATTTAATTTGTCGAACTATAGTGCGTGTCGAACTAGAGTACATGAATCCTACTGAACACTACTAGTAATTTATCCATAACGAGAGATGAGTTTTAGTGAACGTCGCGTATGTACAGAACATTTTTTGTGCACTACAACTAAGGTTAAGGGGGCCGGGGGGGGTCTTCATCAAAATTCTCTCGAAATTGATTTTATAGTTGTTTCTGATAGAGGGGAGTGATATCTATCAGCTGCTTTTAGTCCCATGGAAAAAAATTGTTCCTAGCCGAAATTATCGCTGGTCAAAGGTCAGCGCTCATGTGTAATTGTATTGCGCGAGCGATTTTCAATCGCGCGTCCTGAAAATCGAGTCTAAAAAACTATCTTCTCCTACAATTTTTGAGCAATCACCCTGAAACTTTCAGGATATGTTCTAGGGATCATTTAGAAGAGAAGTATCGAGCCGAATTTTGAGATAGGCCTCAGAAAATTTTTAAATCGATTTTGAAAATCTTGGACCTCATTTTTTGACGATTTTTCCAGGTCCAAGATTTTCAAAATCGATTTAAAAATTTTCTGAGGCCTATCTCAAAATTCGGCTCGATACTTCTCTTCTAAATGATCCCTAGAACATATCCTGAAAGTTTCAGGGTGATTGCTCAAAAAATGTAGGAGAAGATAGATTTTTAGACTCGATTTTCAGGACGCGCGATTGAAAATCGCTCGCGCAATACAATTACACATGAGCGCTGACCTTTGACCAGCGATAATTTCGGCTAGGAACAATTTTTTTCCATGGGACTTAAAGCAGCTGATAGATATCACTCCCCTCTATCAGAAACAACTATAAAATCAATTTCGAGAGAATTTTGATGAAGACCCCCCCCCCCCCCCCCCGGCCCCCTTAACATACATGTCGTTTGATGAGCATATTATCAATTATTATCGGTACTTTATTGAGACACGTTATCATCATCATCATCATCATCATCATCTAATATCAGTCAAACGCAGAAACGTAAAAAGACGAAAAACGTATTTAAAAAAAGGATTTTAGTGGTGTTACTCAGCTGCGATTTATTATTAAGCTTACTTAAATGATTCTACCACTGAGCTTGTAATTTATATTTAAATTCGCTCAAAAATAAAATTTGAAGATTCAAGATTGATTGGAGCACGAAATGTTTAATTCGAGGTCGTCCACATGTTACGTAATCAGCCAAAAGGGGAGGGGGGTTTCCAAATGATTACGCTAGTGTAATTTTGACACAATAGCTGTGTTTAAAACTGAATACGGAGGGGGGGGGGTTTAAAATTGGCCAAAAATTGATTACGTAATATGTGAACGACCCCTTTACTAGGTATTGTAGTGAATAAATAAGACAATAAAATGAACATCAAGTAACTTTATGTTGCCTCGATTGAAACAAAATGGAAACGTCTGGCTACAAGTTCGACGTATAAATTCGATCACATATTGAATACAAATAAGACGAGCAGGACACTCCCTTGAAAGACAGCTTTATCACCTCACTTGTAATGAAGATCGTATTTGTAAACGAAGAATAGAAGACTGATTGGTCAGTGACCTGGAATATAAACTACAAAAATGTTCGATATTTACAATGATTTCGATTTTCTCCGACTCTTGCTGGATGGACTAATTCCGTGCTAAGTGGTTACCATAGCAGTTATTTGATATCGAATAGGAGCTGATCGTGTTAGACACTATATCTACACTACACCGCGTAAACACTATAATAGTTGATCTGTTGCAAAGGGCTAAGATGAGAAGACCCATTGCAATTGCAACTGTGATTCATTTTACGCGATAAGCGGTTGAATACAGCTCGAAACTCACATTACCACAAAATTCGACGTGAGCACTGAAAAACTACACTAAATTCGCGAATACCAAAACACGTGCTTATTTGGGAAAAAATAAGAGGCACGGTATATCGAGGTACCCGGTATAGAGAGGCCCGGTTTATCGAGGTACCCGGTATAGAGAGGCCCGGTTTATCGAGGTACCCGGTATACAGAGGCACGGTTTATCGAGGTACCCGGTATAGAGAGGCACGGTATATCGAGGTACCCGGTATACAGAGGCACGGTTTATCGAGGTACCCGGTATAGAGAGGCCCGGTTTATCGAGGTACCCGGTATAGAGAGGCCCGGTATATCGAGGTACCCGGTATAGAGAGGCCCGGTTTATCGAGGTACCCGGTATAGAGAGGCCCGGTATATCGAGGTACCCGGTATAGAGAGGCCCGGTTTATCGAGGTACCCGGTATAGAGAGGCCCGGTTTATCGAGGTACCCGGTATACAGAGGCACGGTATATCGAGGTACCCGGTATAGAGAGGCACGGTATATCGAGGTACCCGGTATAGAGAGGCCCGGTTTATCGAGGTACCCGGTATAGAGAGGCCCGGTTTATCGAGGTACCCGGTATAGAGAGGCCCGGTATATCGAGGTACCCGGTATAGAGAGGCCCGGTATATCGAGGTACCCGGTTTAGAGAGGCCCGGTATATCGAGGTACCCGGTATAGAGAGGCCCGGTTTATCGAGGTACCCGGTATAGAGAGGCCCGGTATATCGAGGTACCCGGTATAGAGAGGCCCGGTATATCGAGGTACCCGGTATAGAGAGGCCCGGTATATCGAGGTACCCGGTATAGAGAGGCCCGGTATATTGAGGTACCCGGTATAGAGAGGCCCGGTATATCGAGGTACCCAGTATAGAGAGGCCCGGTATATCGAGGTACCGGGTATAGAGAGGCCCGGTATATTGAGGTACCCGGTATAGAGAGGCCCGGTTTATCGAGGTACCCGGTATAGAAAGGCCCGGTATAGAGAGGCCCGGTATATCGAGGTACCCGGTATAGAGAGGCCCGGTTTATCGAGGTACCCGGTATAGAGAGGCCCGGTATATCGAGGTTTTACTATATATTTATTGTCTGGTTTAAAGTACTTTATTGTCTGGTTTAAAGTACTTTAAATGGTAATTTTTACAAATAAGCTTTATATTGTTGCTGGATAATCAGTCACAAAATAATGTAGAACAAACAAAATGATATGCAAGGTTAGCGTTTCTCTTAAGTTTGATATCAAGTTGAAATCTTGAAGGATGATGTTACTCCAAGAGCAAATTAAGTTGAATTCAAAATGAATTCGAGTTAAATCACAACCGTTATGAAAACACTAAACATTAAACAACTAGTACCGTATGCACAATCTAAAATAATCGATCAATTGTTAAACCGAGGAAGAAATCGGCACTGAAAATGTTCGGTGAAGTTTGGCCTCACGGAAACAATTTACTACATCTGCCTGGTATAGCTACTTGGGCGGTACCGGCGTACCGCCACGTGCGATATCGGGGGTCAACCCATTCTAGAATATTTAACCTAAAATACTTGTACAATTTTAGCGCTACCGCATAGCATATATAAATATTTACAATAGAAATGCTTTCGAAATAATAAAAATTCTGTTAACGTGCGTTTCATGTTTATGTTTCATTTTCTTAATTATCAAATACTGGAAATGTTATTTTGAAGGTCATTAAACGGTAATAAACTTATACTTGTATAACAAATTATTAAACTGCGATAAAACGACTGAAACATCTTGTAATTCGTATAGCTGCTGATTATCAGGATATTGGGCGATCAGTGCAGAACATTTTTTTTTGAATTAATAGGTTTATATTCTTAAATTCGTTGTTATATAACATAATGTTACAATAGCAAAAAGACAAAGGATAATGTCAATAGTTGTATCAAAAACTCATAGAAATTATCAAACAGCTAACTTAGGTCACCAGCCGATGCATATGGTCATGGTGACATAAAAATAGACAGAAAGAAAAACGTGAGGACTCCTAACTCATTAGTCCTTTCCCCAAAACTCAACTCATGAACCCATTGTCCCAACTTCCACCACATTGTATGGTGAACGAATGATAAACTTAAGTAAAGACAAAATTCAGTATTTTCTGCATTCATTCTAATATGATTAACATGAGGGGAATATATTTTGATATTGAATTTAGACGACCACTAATGACGGTAGCACTAAAACGTGGCTGCTAACTGTAAGGACGATCATCTTCATAAGAACCGTCTGGTAGCATATCTTCAGGTAGTATGACTATAGCTTATGACTAGTTATTGTAGTAGAAGTCGAATAATTTAAAATAGTGTCGCACACCTCGATTTAAAAGTGGCTATTCTTCGTAAATATATACTAACCAGACTAATGCTTCGGTTGGAATTATTTTAATGTATTTTGCAGGGCCATCTCACAAAATTTGTAATATTCTATTGTAGAAGTTCGATTTAGAATTGGTGGGTGAGATCTCTGATTATAATGATCGAGGGCCTTACGGTATTTCTACTCAAAACGCTAGGAACTGTAAACATATTTTAATAAACGTTTTTTACTATACAATTTTTGAAAAGTGTTCCGTTAGTGATTGGACTGAATTTTGATGTGTATCTTGATTGGCTAATCTTACTGTAAATTTCTAAAGAACCGCTAATTCTAAATCGGTGCACTATGGATGAGTATTAACTTATTGTAAGAATGATGATGAAACGGGAATGACGGGTTCTAAAAGTAGACAAACCGGCCAAATATTAATAGGCTGTTCGAATTTTGAACAATTAAAAACGTCATAGTCATGTGTGGACTTTAGAGTGGCAACGTCATAGTGAATATATTATAGATTCCAGCAACTAACGGAGTCCTTAACTAAAAGCAGAGATATATGGTATATGGCGGGGCTTGAACTCGCAGCCTTTCATTGCGAGCAGAACAAGCCTCCAATACACTCAACGAACAAAATGAACTGATAAACTACATACTCACGAGTCCACATCAATTTTTTTGTGTTAGTTGCTGACTAACGGTTACTTTGATAGCCAATTTTATCAAAAGAGTTTTCTATCAAAAGAATTTTATCAATTATCATCCTCGTATAATTTCTATAAAAAAAATAAAATAAAATTATATGTTTTATGCATATAGATTTAATAGAATTATTAATTTGATATACTAGCGCTCTAACCATGCCTCATGCAGTTTATATATAATGTGTTTTGAAAAATAGAACAAAATTTAAATTTAACCCCTCTTAGCTCGAAACATAAATGCAAGTAAACTGCAAGTAGAAACTATGCTTAAAAACGAAAATACTATTAAGGAATGTGATTTAACCTTATTCCACCTGCACTTTCTGCCACTCTGACAAATGTAAAACCAAGTACCACCCCAGTTCCTGCTTCCTAACTCTCATATGATGGTGCACGGCAATGTTCACCTACCAGTGCCATCTCATCGTCTTCACATAAACATTAAAATGTGATATTATATGATATGATAAATATTTCTATAATTTATAGTAACTCTTTTAAAATAATTGTATACCAGTCTGAAATAAGGCACGAGTGGTAAGAGACGTACTTACAGTAGGGACTAGGAAGCAGTGAAGTTTGCACTGTATAAAGGAATTGGCGTGGTCCTGAAAACAACCAGGTCAACTGGAGATAACGTAACTAACTGGAGATATAACGTAACTAGCAACTAGATAATGGGAACCACAAACTGAATATAAATTATGAGATGTACGACAATTCTATAAAAGCGATAAGAGACTCATCAGTTCACACCTCAATTCACGCCCTAAAATCTAATCAGTCGTGTCACGTGCACTGAAATCAAAGATCTTATTAGGGTAGGCTGTCATGACTCATGTTTCAAGCAATAAGTAGATGTGATTAAGTTTTCCTGTTTAGTGTTCTGTGGTTTAGTGTTCAGACATCTAATTGCACGATAGATATTATGTTAAATTGGCTTTCCTAGAACGTGTTCTCCCAGCTGGTGTTTAAATTGGATCTTCATTATATTATGAGGAAATCCCTCGTCTCTGGGTTCGGCCAGATATCGGCGTCACCAAAAACATAACTTACACTCCGACGCTGACTAACCTTATTCGGGTTGAGCGAGTGGTGACTCAAAGAGTGGTGATTCAAACAAACAGAATTATTTCCCTTTGTATCAAAATGTAGTTTGAGGAGTCCTCACTCTCCTCACGTCCAACAATGCCGTTTCTTTTGTCGCTAATATACATGTAAAAAGCTTTTGTTAACAAAGAAGGTTACTTATGGGTAACTGAATAATTTAGTATTATTATTGTAACGCACCACCATACGGATGCCAATTATGGCTCGCTTCTCCCCACAAAGTTACAACGAATTCTTCATGTAGTGCATCCTGGGTTTGGACAGTATATGCCCGTTTAAAATATTTCCATCACGTTACATAACATAATTCTCAATAAATGTAATAGATTTGTAGTGTTGTAATTAGTTTAAAACTATAACACGCCCCTTGTTTCAGGTGAATAGCGAGGTGATACAGTGGACGTACGGAGCTATGATCTACAGGACCCGTTACTTACCGCTCCGGGAGGAGGGTGTTGACAAGGTCGTCTCTATCTCTGTCTCTAAAGCTGATGCGCTGTCTTACTACGCTGCCCTCCTCTGTTTCTTGGTAACTTGTTATTTGTGAAGGCTACATTTTAAAACCAAAACTCAAATTGGGTAGAGTGGACTGATTTCATTCTCGTTATCGTTTTGCGTTTGGGTAACTACGACCGCCAGCTGGCACCATTTATCGTAGTTATCACAAATTATGACAACATGTCTTTTGCAAAGTACAGGCAACCATGTCCTGAGAAAAGTTTTGTGCGGACTGTTGATACAACATTAAATTCCGCGCAGACAGGAATTGCAGATATTTCGCACAGACAGGAATTGCAGATATTTTTGCCGCAGTCAAACAAATTTAACGATTTTGTCCACACAGGAGGCCTAGAAGCAATTTGGCAATAGAGATAATTTTCAAACACAGTTTCAATAACGATTCAAAGAATGAGATATAAAATGCATAATATGTAAGGGCCTTAGGGCCTGCCAACAACGATTGTTAAATAAATGTGATTCGAAAAAGGGAATGTAGATAAATCACAATACGCGGAGCTTATTCACATTTAATAAGAAAACTATCCGGCGCCATGCAATTGGGCTTACATTGTTTCGTCTATGACTCGATTATTATAAACTTACCTTTTTGCCTCAATCAGCCTTACTAAAATAATGTCGCATTTTGAAATTATTGTGTGTGATGAGTTGTAGCCAGCCCGATTATTGCAGAGCTCCCCTTCAGAGGTGACATGTAAGTGCGGTGGATGCAGAATCGCACTATGTCGCACCATCGCGATCGGTTGTTATTCGTTCTATCAGATTTGTGTACTTTAACTTGGTACTGCTTTGTTCAATGCCCATAAGTATGGTCATAACGTTTTCGTCACGTCGTGACATCAAAAACATCGGAAATAAAAGATTGCAAGAAATCACGAAAAAAAACATGTAACATAGAACAAATTTTCTTCTAAGGGGTCGTTCACATATTACGTAATCACTTTTTGAAAAATTTTTAACCCCTCCCCCTCCCCCTCCGTAATCAGTTTTACACATAGCTATTGTGTCAAAATTACACTAGCGCAATAATTTGGAAACCCCCCGGCCCCCTCTCCCCACGGCTGGTTACGTAATTTGTGAACAACCCCTAAATGGAGCGACTTTTAGTACCATCGATATGTGATAAAGGATGAATCTTTGCAAATGAATTACTCATCGAGCTGTGTGCCAATCCCTCAATGAGTTAACAGATTGAAATTGAGTCACTTTATAGTCTCAATATAGTTTGCCAGAATTTTACTTTTAACTTATAGTGATACACATGATGTATCGGAACCTAATACATACCTAATACATACTGTGCCTTAATTATGGTTATCACCGGCTCAACTAGCCCCAGTCATTCTAGAATTCTAGAATTGTCAGGAAGCTCGATGTAAGACATTAACCTTGTAAGTCATTTGTTGTGTTAAACTCAACAATTGTGTCAAATGCAACGTTGTACTATATACTACCTAGCCTTGCTGAACAACCCAACCTGAAGGAACCTAGACGCTGCAAATTTGGCACTTTTTGGAAAACATTTCCGTGCTAATATACGTTTTGTCTGCTCCCCTATTAATGATCTGGGTCTTTAGTAGTAAACTGGTTATAACGGTAAATTGGGTATAAAAATAAAGGGGGTATAAAGTCAACGGTCGCGCTTGCCAGCACTGTGATTTATAAAGTTTTTTCAATTTTTAAATTATAGATAATACATCAATTAGTCTGGTACCCTAGAAAATTACTTCAGTCTTATAACTTAATCGACACAATTTGTATCCTTAAAACACATCTACTAACCGCTAACATCTACTAACACCCACTAACCGCTAACATTGTACAGGTCGTGCTCTCAGCTATAATATACTGGGTATACAAGCTGCGTAAGATGAGGAGCACTACATTCCTCCCCACCACTCTAGCTGACCTCCACGAGTTCACACACAAACCTGCTAATCATTACACGGAGTTTTCCAACCCTAAAATAAACTTTAACAACGTGTGTCTTCCTCCGCAGAACTCTGCGCGCACCTTGGAGCCCCGAGGATCAGGGCTACTTCCCCGGACCTTCAGTGATTCGCTGTTGAACAGGGACTTAGGGGGTGGTAAACCTCCTATTTTACTAGGGGATTAGGACTTGTTTTAGGTACGGGGTAGTTTTCTTAATTGTGGGATTAGAAATGGAATTAATTTAGTTCACGGAGTGTGTAGAATAAGAAGACCTGAATTTTAGATTAATAGGAAATGTACCTTTTCCAGTAAGTGCGAAGTAGCGCAATATTTAGCTCTCTATTATCACTTGGGTGACGGAGATGTTACCCCAAATCTTTTACTTCAAATTTCAATAAAGGGTTATTAAATTGAGTTGTTAGTTTGATGTTGACTCATATTTATAATGAACTGAATTATAAGAGTTGAATCATCTTGTTTGGATGGATTCGTTGAAAATACATCAATGCGACTCGTTTTCATTTGAGATGTATTTTTGTTTTATCTGTATAGTTTTTATCTTAGTCCTTTGATCTGACCACTTACTTTGCTCAAGGTTCGAGTGATCTATCATGACGTGTTAATGTTAACTTTTCTTATATTATTGGAGTTTCACCACGGTGGGTAAATACTTAATAGGTTATGATTTGAATTGGGTTGTTATATTTTAATTTAAATGATAAATAAAAATCGGAATATTGAAACAAATTTATAAGATTTACAGTTAAATTCTCAATCGATTTATGTTGATATTGTAGGGAATCGGTGCCCATATCAAATAAAACCTATTTTTATGACAGCAACCTCACTCCGCTATAACATTTTCAGCCATTAAGCATATTCTATTTTTATGGCTGCTCTATCATAAACATCCAATTCAATTTCTCAAACTTTATGGGCACCATAAAGTAATTAAAATCTTTCAAAGTAATTAAAATCTGTGGCAAAAGTACACCGTGGAGCATGCTAACAGTTTTTGGTTGAATAATAATATTGCGGGCAATGTTAATTTGTTTTGAATTATTTCATTAAATGTAAACAGCTGTAATTTATCAATAAACATTCTTGGTCTATATACTTCTCTATCATTTTGTCGATTCAGGGACATTTCATGGAAAGTATCATGCTCATTTTGAAAAAAGTAAAATTTGTGCCCAGTACAAATTGGCAAATACATAGCAACATTCAAATTTTAAATACACAGCACCAATAAACGGCAGAGTGGAAATGACAAAATAATGTCATTTTTGGAGTTCAGTTGGGTTTCTCTCAAAGTCACACATTTCTCCACATCTGTCAATTATTGATGCTAACATTAATAGAGTCTCTAAATAAGGAATCCAAACCTAGATAAAGATCACAGCAATAATTAACACAAATATAAAGAAGGAAACTAGTCAGGAAAGTCCATAACGTCTCATCTAAAATCCAATCCTATCTAAAAGTTGACCACTCAGCCCATTATAATTTCATCTTCTTTTCTTTCTGAACCTTAAAAACATCTATCCCGAGTCCCGCTGAATGAATGTTAGTTGAGTGATCAACTGAATCGCAACTCATCAATATACACATATCTTCCTATCTTCCTATTTAACAACTATTTCCTTCAAAGTTCAATGTCTTTTGTTGGCTTGAAAATCAGTTTGACAAGCTAAATTATGTTACAAATTAAAAGCAATACAATGCTTTTGTAAGAAAGTGAGGACCTGTGCCATTTTGCTTACAAATCAACATGTGATGTTATAAAAAGCCAGTGTGAAATTTAGCATACACTATAATACTAGGTAAACGTAAGGATGAATGATATTGCGTAAGATTTTCTAAAATGAAGCACATATTGTGATGTGACATATTTTGTGATGAGTAGCACATTTTTAAAGGATGTATGACGTGATTTTCTGAAAGGATTAGCAGAAATGAGGCACACAAGGTGAGATAAGGGGTCGTTCATATTGACATATTACGTAATCAGTGAGGGGGAGGCAGGGGATTTCTAATATATAATAATAATATAAATGATTACGCAATTGTAATTTTAACACAATAGCCATGCGTAAAACTGCAGATTACGGAGGATGAGGAGGTTAAACCTAAGAATTGCCCAAAAAGTGAAGCTTTAAAAAGTGATTACGTAATATGCGACCAACACCTAATAATGTATGAGATTGTGAAAGATTTTCTGAAATGAGGCACATTTTGTGAATGAGGCACATTTTCGGATATGTGGCACACGTTTGTCCAATTTTATAGAATGTGGCACATGTTGCGGGATATGCATATCCTTACCCGGAACCCGTTCCTGCTGGAACCGGGAAGCTCCACTTACATCTCCCGGCTCCACAAACAGCAAAGTCTTTAGATTATTAAGTACATGTTGAAAATCAATGATCAAATAGTTAATGTTGATCTGTAGATCGTTCACTGTAACTAATGTCTTACTGTTTTACACCGGACTGGGCGCACCATTACATTTACCGTTACGAACTTTGTTTCGCTGCAGCTCCATCTGGAAGTATCTATGGTATTTATTGTCCGACTTCTCAACGAGGAGAGCCCATCTGCCCTTGATAGAATCCCAGACTCTGCCCAACATCCTGCCTTTGATCCTCACGAAGTAGATGAGAGGGAAGATGCTGGAGTTGAAGGTACTGAGGACTGTGGTACTGACCAGATACACGTAGAGATACACGTGCCAGCTCTTGTGGTTGTAGTCGATAATAGGGCTGGCCAGCTCCAACTCGAAAGTGATGAGACTGTAGAGCCACAGGATCATGTAAGGACCGTAACTGATGATAAATGCGAGGGTGATTATGGTGATGGTGATGCTCGCTCGCCGGGAACTGTCCGTGTCACGAAGCTGGGACATCTGCCGAGAGGGTCTGGCGTGGAGCTCGTCCGCGTGAGACATAGCCATAGATCGGGGACTTGGCGGCACTAGCGTCACAGAGATCTTCCTCAACCAGAACTGGGAGTTCTCCCGCAGTAGGTTTATTGATGCGGACTTGGCAGAAGTACTGTTAGATTCCCGGGAGTTTTCCCGTTTGGGATCGTGGGAGTTTTCCCGGGAGACGGAGAGGCGGGATGTTGAGGTACTGGCAGATCTGCTGTGTTCTCTGAGTCGCTCGTTAACCGTCATGTGCTCGTTATTTGTGACTGATGTCCTCTGAAAATCACGATTCATGTTAGACAAATACTGATGGTTTAACTGGTTGACCAGCAGAAATTGGGAATATTCAATATTAAGAATGTCGAGCAAAGCAATATCTAGAAGCTCATATTAAAGTTAGACACGATACTGAATATCATGCTAGTTACCCGCAAAAGTATAACCACTTAATGATTTTAGGAATGTCTACTGTCTAGGATCGCAATTTAACAAATACTGAAAACTCATATTAAAACAAGTTGTTATTAACCTGAAACTGCTCCTGTTCTCGGGTGTTATTCCTGAGTTTAAGGACGACAAGAGAACAGCAAACCACAGTGACCAGGAATGGGATGGTGATGGACATGTTGATGAACAGTTTGATAAGCTTGGGGTAAGAGTACTGGTTGTAGTCTATCAGCATGTAGAAGGCTCCAACTGCTTTGTAGTACTGAAATGTTTGGGTTAGATGAGTGCAGGGAGACTGGAATATGTAATATTTATCAGCTGAGACAATTGCTATTATTTGCAATGCCAGCCGTTCATACTACGATATGTATTAGTAAAAATCTACCCGAAATAATTCGGGATGGTACTTATTGTTAAAATTTAGCCTGGTCCTGGCCACATAGCTAAAAATAAATACATGTTAAGTATTAACACTGGTGCTACTTACCACGAAGTGGAAGTTGTCGTAGAAAGGAAGAGCGGAGATAAGTACGGGAATAGTCCAGGAGACAAAGCTAAGTATCAAAGCCTTGTTGATCGTCATTATTCTCCTACTGCTGAACACGTAGTACACACCAATAAACCTGAACAAATTTTATATTATACAAATCAGTGTTGTCAATATTTCATACGAAATTTTCCTAAATTTCACTTCAGATATGAAGATATCACAATTCACGACAATATCTGGACTGTTACACAACTAAAAGTAACCCAACCAACTATCCATAATAAAATAGATAAGTCTGGTCAATGTTATATCGGATAGCAACGCGTGGATAAGTTATTTTCTACACTTTCTACGTACCGAATGAAGCAGAGGTTGGAGGTGAGGTAGATTGAGAGGAGGGGAAGGAGGGTGGACAAATACCCGATGATATCACAAAACACTGTGAAGGCTTGCTGGTTCTCTATCCCAAACTCCCTTCCTTTCACCTGTCAAAGTAGGCCGTAAAATGGTGTATGTTGTACTTAAAGATACTGTTTCAAGTGCAAAGTTATTACTCTGTTATTGTTAATTCATGGTTTGGACTCTAGAACTAGAACTTGAATTTTTAAAAGGCCTATAGACTATAGTGGTTGCAATGTCATGACGTTTCGTTGACTCGGAATTTTGTGAATGTAATCACGTTTGCTCAGGATTGCATCTATTTTGTGAAAGTAATCACGCTTGCGCAGGATTGCATCTATTTTGAGGGATGACCTTAGAAGCAATTATGTAACCTTTTAAAACTTATTTAGGTACTGCGTGAAAAGGTATTGCTAGAACGAAAAGACGCGGTTTCACGTAAGCATAACAGTCTGCACCAAGGTACGATCAAAATTTAGCTTTTATCTGACAGAGTGACAGGTTGAGTGCAAGAGTCTGCTTTTATTGCTCAACATCAAACAGGTGGTGACTACTGACTACGATCTATCAAATTCTTTGTTTCACTAAGCTCATTTAACTTTGAGAATAGACAATTTTCACAATATTTTGAAAGGTATTGAGTGTGCTCAGACCTAAATTCCTAGCATGAATTGTATCATGAAAAGTGCACTCACCAAAGCGTAGCTGACGACAGGGGCCTGGATGGAGCACCCTATCAGGTCAATGACACATAACTGTAACATAATGATAGAGGTAGGGTTGAACTTCTTTTTGAGGAACTTCATCACAATTACCACCAGCATCATGAAGTTAAATACCGTCCTGCGAAGGAAAGAATCGTTAACTCACTTGAATTGAATTTAAAATACGGTATTGCCACTTTTGAACCAGATCTTTTAAAATTTGCAATGATCGCTTCATCAGGATTCTAATATCGACTTCGCTTCACACTTACTTAACCCAAAATCTAAATTTGGATATGTACCCAAACTGTAAAACCTAAAGAGAAAATACAAACTTTCACTGAAAACCGGTACATACCCGACAATGCAAATGAAGAAGTAGATGCGGTACATACCCGACAATGCAAATGAAGAAGTAGATGTAACCGGTACATACCCGACAATGCAAATGAAGAAGTAGATGTAACCGATAACTGTATCTGCACTACTACTGAAATATGGACCAGTTGGAATGGTGGAGTTACTTTTTACCTCCCTGTCTTCTGTTCCATTTGATGTAACCATTCTGTTTGTAGTATCTACAATATTTTAGAGTTTATGATCAAAAGAGCAAAGTTGGTGAGCAAATATTAGACTATCGGGTATAAATATCCCAATATAATAAATTGAATTTTAGTTTAATTCTTGCTGATTAAAACTTGCTTATTAGACCATTTTAATCCCAGAACTATAGCAGGTAGAAGCAGGTAGAAGCAGAGAAGCTACCCCTTATAAATAATATGGTTTAAACTGGTGAGTGGGAACAATATAAAATGTTAGACAGTGCTCTTATACTAGCTTGTTAATCTTCCCTCACGTGACATTTGTCAACCAATTACAGAGGCTGAGAGACCTGCAATAGTTTATTGAACCTATTAGCCTTCTTTTAGTTCACGCACTACTGGTTACATACAATGTACAAATCTACTCCTTTTATAATATAAACTAGGGAAGAGTTTTAATCGCAAAATAAAGAGGACTAGTAGTACGATCGGAAAAGCAACGTCAGGCGTCAAGCACTGCCCAAATCATAAAAGTCAAGCTATCAAAGATACGTTATGTTAAGATGTCCAGTATATACGGATTTAGTGAAGAAAATTGCTTCTTTGATCTCATCTCTTAGCTAGATAATGATAAGTAAAGCTTTGAGGTTTAGTATCCTGTATCCGTTAAATTTTAACATAACTAGCTTCATCAACCTAGTCCAGGAAAAAATGTTCAAATTATGTTTTAGTAAGTTCGTTTCCTTTTCTCGCAGTTAGTGTCCTTTTCTCTGGAATAGGTTGATGAAATCGCCGCTAGAGCACAGAGTCTAAGAGTTAAATGTCTAACAGCAACACTTGTTTCTGTCTAGTTCTAATGTACCGTCACAATAGTGACTTTAAATATATTAGAGGCCCTGCTAACAATCTAAACTTCGATAACAAAAATTTGTTAACTTTGTTAAGAGGCAAGTGTATCAGTCTAATAAATGGGGATCTGGCATTTACTGATGACTGAAAAATGCAAACCTCGTTTTGTTATGTTAACTTCAATTTGATGTTATGTGGCTATGCAAGCGTATCTATATTCTAAAAAATGCATTGCGTGTGAAGTACGAGAATCAGTTTTACTGTTTAAGTTTCGCGGTTTGTTAACAAAAGAGGTTTATGTTAAACAAGAAAATAATTAAATAAGAGTGAAATTTTAACCAAATAAAACAGAGCAAAATGAAACAAAAACAGAGGTGGTTGGCAAGCAAAGTCAATTATCATATTTTGTGTTTAAATTTCAAAGTTTCTCAAAACATATTTCATATTCTAACTTCGTGTGTAGCGCGTGAATAATTTGCAATAAGATCATTCAATTTGCCGGTCAAACAGTTTAAACTCGTAAAATGGTGTCCAATCTTTAATGCTTTTTTGATTATAATCAAAATATTACAAAGCTATCATAACAGCACATACAAGGAGCAGACCTGCCTTCTTTTCAATCTGGGTGCAAAACATTGCTCTAAATAGCCAACTCCTCTCTCTTGTAACTACAAATCAACCAATCAAATCAACTAAAGAGTACTACGTGGGTTGGGGTTTGCAATTGGAAGTGAGACACATGACAATAGCTGTTACAACTCCCCGTGCAGTTACAATTTTATTGCGACACGTGCTATGGATACCCGCAGTTTGCACGTGCTGTGGATACCCGCAGTTTGATCAGCTCGTGTGTCAAAACTTCGTACCACAAGTCCACCATGGTCATTGTAGGAAGGCTATGATAATTACCATGTAAAGTAGAACACAAGGCTGCCTTAATGGATTGAACCTCATAGGCTCCCTAGACAGCTGTCCGCGATATGATCAGTAATTCCGTTCACCGAAATTCAGGAGCTAAATACCAAAACAGGCCGATACTTCCCCCTTTTTTGGTGCGCTAATTCCTGGTAACCGAGACAGGAAAGAAAAATACCGAAAAACGATTGCACAAAAATCTGACACTTCGTGGCATGTCAAACCCACAAAAAACCTGAACAACTCTGAATAACCGATTCAATTGTCCTGAAAATGGATTCTTCGTAATTATATCTCAATTCGTATATAAAATGTTGATTGTCGGCTCAATTTGTCAAAGCAAATGACGGAAAATCTCATTAAATTCTGGCACGGAAGGCCAACTAAGCGTTCATGTTTAGTAACGCATAGCTGCATTTGATAATTGAGTATGACTGTTAACACTTTAACACTTGTAATCCTACTCAACGTATCTGCAAACCTCCGAGAGAGGGAGCTAGCTTATATCTGAGAGTCACTGACTGTCAAACTAGCAGTCAGAGGCATGAACAGATTTGTAATGAATTATAGTCATAGACGAGATTGAAGATGTATCGAGATATCGTTATTCGTTAGAATAAATCAATTTGTCATCCCGTAGAAAATATGTTCGGCAATTTATCAATTTGTCGTCTAAAATTTGTATGGCAATTTATAAATTTATCATTGAAAGTTGATCTATTTATTGCAAGGAATTAGACACGGATGAATCGTCACAAGCACAGTAAACTGTCGCTCAGACTCATTCCTCCTGATTCAAGTCTCATTTCTGCTATGAACAGTACATCACAACTGTGATTGCCGAAACCCAGCCCAACTTTTATGATAACACCTTGCTAGCTTAGTTTGTAACTTTATTCATTATTTAACATTGTTATTAGTTAATATCACAATGAGATCGTGGGCTGTAGGACTCCCAATTCTCAAGAGAAAGATGAACAGTAGTGGATAACATAATAGTGGATCAAGGATTCCTGATTCGCCGAATCATACTTGATACTCATAAGTTTTAATGATCTTAACTAATCTAAGTCTAACATAACTACAAAAAAGTATAAGTATTAGGATGTGCGTAAAATCTCAAAGTAATTTTGCAGCGTAACAGCTTAAAAATTAAATAACCAAATTTGCTCTCAGATCTCCACTGATCTCTTTCAAACGATACCCTCTTAGTTTTACAGGTTCATATGTTTAGCTCATGACAGCTTGTAAAGAAAGTTTAACCATAAAAGGCACGATCATCACTTACGTTTAGTCTTACACTAGACACGGCAAACTTGCGTAAACTTTAACACGTACCGTAGCCTGTAAATGGTATTGGTAATGAAATTTATCGCTATGGGCTCTGTTGGGTGAAACTGAAAGAAAAAGGTTATCATTCTTAGACATAACAACCTTTTATATTTAACTTTAATTTGTCATCGATGAAGCGTGTGGGAGGAAATTGGATTGCTATTGGAGAGTTACAGAGTTGCACTATCATTTATCACCATAGTCAGTGTCAGGACAATATTCCTCACCTTAGGCTTATTTTGTTAAAGACTACTGACTAATAACGTTCGCAGACTTATGCAACTTATGCAATCAAATCATAGCTGAACTGAAGTTATGAACATAAATAGTAATACTCAGTAGAGCAGATGGATTGATTTTTGGGTTACCCATAAGATTCAATGACCCATAAGATTCAATGACAAATATCGAGTTTACCGCTCGATCTTGAATCCTATATTCAAGCCCTGGATGCTGTACGAATATAGTATATCATATTATAATTAATATAAATAATAAAACATCAATTCGCGAACCAACTGGATTGATTCGACCATGATCTGCACAGACTATCATTTACACAGACCATGATCTAAAAAGACCGTGATGTTAGACTACGATGCAAATTATGACATGCACTGGCTGCATTTTAACTATGTTCTCGGAATTCCCATTCCGTTGGCAGTCGAGTCGAGACTAAAAACTAAAAGAATCTTTACTCTTTTACGCAATGCACGTTAAAAGGGTATTAATGTTATGAGGTATTGTAAAACGTGGAACTTTCTGAAAGTTTGAGCTGGTCGAGACAAAGTGGTTTGCATAAACGATGCTGTACAATCCATAAGAATGGGTAACCTTTAAAACGGCAGTTTGCGCGTGCGAATTTGAAATTCTTATTATCTCAGAATTATCTGGAGGACTAGAATTTTCTGTAATCTAATGAATGAACGGGCAGGTTCAGGGTTTAATCTCGATATTCAAGATAATGAACAGCAGATTAGCAAATTATCTTAACCCCAATGACTTTTCGCTGTTTCAACAAAATTACCAGCAACCCCACTTTTAGAGTAGTAAGATCAGATTTAGAACTAGACCGGAAAATCATTGTCAAATTAGGCCTAACGCTTAGTATTGGAGCTGCACCTTTTTAAAATGGCTCAAGTGTTAAGAAATCAAGGAAATTTGTAAGTGAGAAATTATATTTGAGGGGATATGTCCAACCCTAATTTGCAGGTTATAAGTCACAACTCTATTGTAATTGAGACCACCAACTTTGACTGAAAAATAAGCGTTTTTAAACTTAAAGAGGTGAGGTCAAAGTACTATTACTAACAGTAACAAAGGTTAAGTAAGAAAATAATGAATAAATTCGAATGTAAACTGTAAAGCTAGGAGTGACAAGTATGACAGTTTAAATGCTCCTTATCGAAACTAAGTTATAAATTCATAACTCGACTTCATGAATTTTTAACGTCTTAGATTTACCAAATGCCTTTTAGGAGCTAATTTGCATAATTTCGGAATTCAAGTTTGTGATCCTATATTGAAATAAGTTCACTGTTTTAAATATGCGTGAGAGGCAATTAATGATACCAGCCATTTGCGCTATTTTTTAATTAATCCTATTAAAAGGTAAATTGATTATTTAAAGTGTCCTTAAGCTATTTTGTAAATTTTGAAAATCAGACCTAAATTGGAGTTCATGGTTCCATTCATAAACTGTTTTTGCTCAATGCTCTTGAGTATAGTTGATTTTGTCACCAAATTAGGTTCATATAACAATTCCTCAACGACAACAGTAAACGAAAACACTTTACGCGTTAAACTTGAAATTGAAGACGGCCGCGATGGCTGAATTGTTTATTTACAGGGAACAAGATTTGTGATTGGACAGCTTATTCGTGGTCGCCATGTTTTGCCAGACGTTGCGCCATTTCACTTGCATGGCCTGAATCTGATCACACGCGTAAACCCTAATTTTGATATATA